TAACAGTTGCTGTATATAATTAATGTTGTTTGTGGTTCTAATGAATCAAAAGTTATTTTGTAATATTACAAACAAACAATTACAACATAAAATGTATGCTGATGTTCAGAGATGTATAGTAACGAAGTAGAACTACTTCACTACTGTACTTAAGTACTAAAAGGCAGTATCTGTACTTTACTGGAGTATTATTTTTTTCTCCTACTTCCACTTTTACTTAAGTACATATTTTCCATGAGTTTAATACTTTTACTCCGATAGATTTTTTATGTGCTGCATCGTTACTCGTTACTAGGGGTGTCAAAATGATCGATATCAGTTCAGTAATAGGTCATGACCGGTGATTACGTGATGACGTCATTTATCTCCTATGCGCGATGTCGCAATACTATGGCGGAGGACGGAGGCGCGAGTGAAGGCGGCACACGAGCCGCTAATTTACTATTAGGGAGAAATGTTGTAAAACTTCACCTCTGCCTCTCTCTTTCTCACTTTGGACATTTGACCCGCTGGCCTGTTTGTAAGGTAACTTTCCCTCTTTTCTTAGCTGTTAAAGCTGTCGATCCATCCAGACACGAGCGTGCCTGATATTCAAGTTTTCTTCACTGTGTCTATTACCTGTGATAACCGCGTATTCTTCCCGCCATGGGTGAACAGCGCTTCATTTCCAAAGCCTTTTCTGTTGAGCAGATGAAGATAATAACCAATCATCATAAGACCTCGCCTGTCAGCGCTCAAAAAGCAGGCGGTATAATATTGACATGAGTTTATTAGCTGTAAATGCTCGTGCTGTCTTCTGTGCATGAGTTTTTTTTGATACATTCAGAAAGAGTGCTTTCTTTAAGCAGGTCAAATTAAGAGTAGGGTTCATATATCTGACTGCTGTATTAAAGAACAAAATTGTATTAAAAATAACCCTACAACTGTCACACCAAGACAAAAGCAATAGATTTTTTTATTGCATTTCTTAACTCATAATGTCGCTATTTAACACAGTCAATGCATTTTTTTCTCAACACATCCCATAATTTCTAAAATATCAGCCTCTACCAACTGGTTAAGAAGTTGGTTTATGGTAAAAGTACCAGAATTAATAAATATACTACAGAACATATGAAGTGCCAGACCAATTTAATTAAAACATAATCAAAATTTAAAAAATTAATACTAAACCATAGCCATAAGCCATAAAGTATTTTAGATTTTCTTTTAACACAGTACTATACACGCTTTCCTGTTTTTCTTTTCTTTTCTTTTTTTACAATAAAATCAAAATCAAGTGAATTAATGCAACAGGATTTAGTTTGCTTGTTTAGTTTAGTTTCACGACTGCTTCCAAAAGACAAAACTCCTGTTTATTTTGGTATTAACCAATCAAACTTCAAAACTACCAAAGTGTGAGTGAATAATGCATGTAAGAGAGAAACAGTGTGATTGTACCTGTGTGTGCGTCTGTGTGTGTGTGTGTAAGAGAGAGAGAGAGAGAGTGTATGAGAGTGTAAAAGAGTGTATTTTCGTGTTTGTGTGTGTGTGTGCCCATGTATATGTATAACAACATCGGTATTACACAGATGTTAGGAGGAGATGGTGAATTATGTGGACATTATGTATAAAATTCAATCACACTAAATATTTTTTTTTATTTTCAGAAATTAAAACTACACATAATTTCCTGTAAGGGTTGGGTTTAGAGATTGGATTTGGGGTTAGAGCATTCAAAAGTATAGTTTGTAGAGTATAAAAACAATTGTAACCTATGTAATGTCCCCACAATTCACAAAAATGTGTGTGTGTGTGTGTGTGTGTGTGTGTGTGTGTGTGTGTGTGTGTGTGTGTGTGTGTGTGTGTGTGTGTGTGTGTGTGTGTGTGTGAGTGAGAGAGAGAGAGAGAGAGAGAGAGATAGAGAGAGAACTGTGTGTGAGAGTGTATGAATGTGTGAGAGTGTACATTTAGGTGTGTGTTTATGTGTGTGTAAAAGAGAGAGAGAGAGAGTATGAATGAACATGCTGAATTATCTCATCAGTGAAGTGATTTTCTGGTAAACGAGCCTGACGATGTGAGTTCTTGTACCATAGAAATTATTTACAGAGAAAAACAGTATCATAAGCCATGTTTCTTTTCATTCTGCTTAATCAAGTGCCCCAAAGATATTTAAAATAAACAAAACAATATGATGTCTTTTGACTGCCTTCTTTAATAACTACATTACACAATACTTGTACTTTTACTTTCAGTACTTGAGTAGTAAATTTTGAAATAAACTACTTGCAATACTTAAGTACTAAAAATGTTGAATACTTTAGTACTTCCACTTAAGTATGGTGATTAAAGAGCACTTCTACTTCTACTCAAGTCACTTTTTGATAGAGCACTTGTACTTTTACTTAAGTATGGGTCTCTAGTACTTTATACATCTCTGCTGATGTTAGTCGTTGTGTGTGTGTGTGTTTGTGTGTGTGTTGTTTGTTTGTTTGTTTGTTTGTTTGTTTGTTTGTTTGTTTAGAACAGAGGTCACCAATCTCGGTCCTGGAGGGCCGGTGTGCCTGCAAGTTTTAGCTACAACTTGCCTCAACACACCTGCCTGGGTGTTTCAAGTATCCCTAGTAAGACCTTGATTAGCTTGTTCAGGTGTATTTGATTAGGGTTGGAGCTAAAATCTGCAGGACACCGGCCCTCCAGGAACAAGTTTGGTGACCCCTGGTTTAGAATAAAGTTGTATTGAATTGAAATATTATTGATTGTGCAAATAATTTATGGCCTATGAAATCCAATGACATGTTGTTGTTGTAGTTGTGCATAATGTTGGGATTCCAAATTTGACTTGAAACATTCAACATTAAATTAAAATTAATGATATTTCTCAGTAGTACGTTTTTTGGTGGTGTGGAGCAATCCCTGCACTAAATTACAAATTGTATAGTGCCAATACACAGTAAATGTACTATATAAAACAGTTTACATTACGTGTATAATCTATGTTGACAGTAATTAATAATTTCAAATGTATAAATAATAGTCTATTGAAATCCATTTTTTTGGATACTTGGTGGATTAAAGTACATTTTAATTAGGGCTGCACAATATATCATTTCAGTATCGATATCACAATGTGCGTGTTCGCAATAGTGAAATCGCAAAGATATGCATTGTCCATACTGAATTACTGTTGACCAGAAGCCACAGAATTGTATTTAATCACTGTATTTATGTGGAATTTATATGATTTAGTCAAAAAAAAAACATTTACTTACATTTTTGTCTAGTTTTTAGTCTAAATATCTACATTTCAAAGCAAAAACAAGATTATTTCACTTACCCCACTGGCAGATCATTTGCTTAAAACGAGCAAAAAACTCTTCAGTCTTCTGACTGTAAAAACAATATTTTTACATGGTCTAACAATTTTTATGATAATTGGACAAGAAACGAGACAAAGCAAAGTTAGACGAGTTTTTTTTTCATCTGAATGCTGAATCTGACTTTCCCCAGATAATCGTCAAATAGTTCTATTCAAACTAGGGTTGGGCCGATACGATGCCATCGTCCATCGCTATGGCCAATAGACAACAAGAAGCTCAAAATCGCCGATCCTCCACCCCGCCGCAAACATACTTGCGGCAAATACACACTCAGGCCTCGTTTACACTAATACGTCTTAGTGTTAAAATGGCATTTTAGAACGAAAATGATCCACATCCACACCATTTTACCTAGCATTTCTGCACAGCCCTACGACCGCTCATTACGTGACCACACACACACACTGTCATGCGCTCCTCTGAGCTCCAGGCAGAGAGCAGTGGATGTCGAACAGTTTTTCAACAATGTACCGCTGGATTGCGTCTCACTATAGTTGTTAAACGTGATATTTAGACATCCCAAGTCTCCCGGAAGTTTGCGGGACTCATAATGCGCACCCTTCTTACCCCCGGATTTCTCCTCGCACTCTATCAACCATGTCCGGTTAATTAAAATCACACAACTTATTCAGTTTATCATCAAATCATAGTTTAACTAAAAAGCAAATAATGATAATTTTCAGCAACCAAATAAAATAAATGTTTTCTCAAAAGCTATTTTCTACTTGTTTTTAAGGCCGGTGGCTTAATGAGATATAAGAAATATAAGCATTTGTAGTATGAACAAAAATTAATTGTATTTATGTTTATACAATGAAGACAATGCAGTGTTATTTATTTACAGTTTGGTCATTTAATGTCTGTGCCTGAATAAAGTTGACCTCTCCAGAAAACCCTGCTTGTTTCAATTTATCCAGATGAAATGTTGTACGATGTCATCACAATCAATATAAAATGATGAATTCTTTCCAAATTTGGCTATTCAAGTCTGGTGAAATGATACTCGTATCAAAATATGTATCGCAGAAAAAAAAAACGTTGCAATGTTTGTTTGTTTTTTTCCAATATCGCGCTGTCAAACCCTGGTTTTTTTATTTTATTATTTTTAAAACTTTTTTATTTTGGTTGGTTGTTGATTGTTGTTGCACAGTTCCATGTATCGCCAAGCTTCTTTAAGTGTTTCACACACATGCCCTCTCTCTTGCATAGTCTAAATAACCATCAACACCTTGGATGGACCTCCATTAAGTAACAGATCTGAAAAACTACATCCCTCTTAAAAAAAAGGGAAGTCTGTGTGTTTAACAGAAGCCGGTCAACAGTACATGTCATCAGTGAGAGCGCGTTTCTCGTGACTTTACTAGCTCGAGTGCACATGACCAATTTGAGCGTGCAAGCAGAATCATGGGTTTTGTCATTGAAACAAAAAAGGCTTTATAGCTCCATTAGAGTGTGTAAGTTCAATCAAACGACTGATTGTGGTTTTAGCATATCGTAGTTGTAAGTTTTACTATGAGGCGGTGTCTTTCAAATGTGTGTGTGTGTGTGTGTGTGTGTGTGTGACTGGGTACAAACCGTTTTGACTTTCACTTCCTTTTATTCCAATCTGAGCTTCATGCTTTGTGCTTCCTCTTCCTTCAGCTCTGACACTATGACATCAAGGAAGAAAGTTCTTCTGAAGGTGATCATTCTTGGAGATTCCGGGTGAGTTTCTCGCAATCAACATGACACGCTTATTACAAAATCAACACTACTGCCACTTTCATTTTGGGTTTAAAGTGAAGCGGGTGTTGTTGAGAGTGAGACTTTTTATTACAGTGTGTTGATGTGCTTCCATCTGAAACAGAATATTGTATAGGGGAGGGGCTTTCTTTTCTGAACATCATTTGCACTTAGCAAACTAACAGTAAGAGGGGCGTGGTTTAAAGCTGATATCACCGCCACTGAAAAAGCAGAAGCAAATGGTCGGATTACCGAAACAAACAACTGCATCTTCAGTCAGTTAAAGGTGCATTAGGTGATCTACCAGAATCCTAGCATTAGCATAATAGCTTAAAAATTTTATGACCCTCCCCTGCCGTTCAAAGCCAAGCCTCCTTAAGTTATGAACACGTGAACGCACACTGATTAGATATAACACTAGATCATGTCATTCACCAGTTCCAAAACTCTATGGACGCACACTATATCAAGTGTAGTTGTTGACAGGCCAGTGGGTGCAGGAATTATATTTTTCCAAATCTGTGTCACAAGTTGTCACTGTTCAAAAATGAACAAATGTGTGTATATAAATCATAGTTCACCTCAGTAAAGTTGATTTGGCAGAAGAGCACATTTACTTATGTTTTGTTATTAACGTTATTTAAGTTACAAAGACAACGAGTAACTTTTCATTTTCAACTGTGTTCACTGATCCTCTTACATCGCTTGTTTTCATGTCCTTTTTCACTTGAACAACTAAACGAATGCAAAGGTCTATTTAACTGACTATATTTTCGATGCTGTGAAAGGTACTTAATGAACTTGAAAATAGCCAATATTTTGCCGGATGTTTTCAGTGGCTGAACAGCACTTCTATGCATATAAACCTATTCATGAACAACACAATCTACATAAGCTTTGTGTGGCTAAAAAAGTTTTAACACATACCTGTCTAAAAGAAATACTTCAGCCGTGGTGTCATCCTTCAGATCATTGTTGTGAATTGCAGAACATCATTTCCCTCCAGCGTGCAAAAGTAACTCAGATATTTATTCAGGGTTTAGAAAAGTGTTTAATCTGCATTTTTGGCAGAAGCCCTTTCAGAGACAATCTTTCTTTTAATGCATACAAGGCCACGATAGTTTTTCAGAAAGAATGGTTGATGCAGAGTTTGCCAGATGACGTCTCTCTATCAGCCGTAGTGGGCGCGAGTGACACGTGAGCGCGAGTGATGTATCTGTCTGCTTAAAGAGGCTCCGCAGAAATTCAAATTAAAATTTGTTGACAGACAGTTTAAGATACCTGTTGTAATTGAGTTATTTTTCGGTCCGACAATATTGAATTGGATGAACATTTTAAGTTGTATGCCACATCCAGAACAAAAAAACACAAAATAATACATTTTGATCATTTACTTTATTCATTACAATTGGAATATGAAGAGACTTTCAACCAGCACAACAAAAAATGTTTCTGAAGACAATCACCTACTGCACCTTAAACTTGTGCGGATGAATTGTTCACTTTAGATCTAACCATAGATACACTAGATATCGCATACGAACACTTGGGCCGTGCAATTAATCGAAAATCCGTTTTTGATTACGATTTTGGCTTCTAACGATTATGAAAAAGCATTAATCAAGATAAACGGTTATTTCGTCATATACTGCTCCTTTCCAGTTGTACACATTTGTTGCTCTGCAGCTCAGTTCCACGTGAAAATGAATAAAAGTATGTACTGTAATGTAACTTTTGCAGCACAGGATGCTGCAGTCATCATGCACTGATCATTCATTGATGTACATTTGAATCATTAATATTTTTTTAAAAGCACGAAAGAGCACATGCTGTTGTGTGTGTGTGTGCGCACCTTGGATAGGCTCAGAGACGAGCAGGGCACAAACATCTAATGCCATCTTAATGTGAGCGCTTTAATGGTCAAATACGTGCACATTTGTGTCAGATCGCAGTGTTTATGGTTAACCCTCATTCGTGTAATAAACAAACAAGTTGAGAATCAAAAGACATGTGAAAGAGAAACCATATCAGAGCTGCAATGTTCTTAAAGACACAGCACACAATATTCTTGCTGCCGCCTGATTTTGTTATTAATCAAACAACAAATGAAGAAAATACCTCACTGCTCTTGACTAAAGGAATTTTCATAGCTAAAGTGTTTTTCTCACAGTGAAGATGCTTAGAGCACCGTTTAAACATAACAGATTTAATAACTCATCTATAATATCTGATTTCTTTTATCTTTGCCATTATGACAGTACATTATAGTTTACCAGATATTTTTCAACATACTAGTATTCAGCTTAAAGTAACATTCAAAGGTTTAATTAGGGTTATTAGGCAAGTCATTATATAACAGTAGTTTCTTCTGCAGACAATCAAATATATATTGCTTAAAGGGGCAATAATATTGAGCTAGTAAAATAGGTTACAAAATATTTAAACCTGCTTTTATTCTAGCCCAAATAAAAAAAATAAGCCTTTCACCTGAAGACAAAAATATTATAGGAAATACTGTGAAAAATTCCTCAGTTTAACATAATTTAGGAAATATTTATATATAAAAAAAATTCACAGAAGAGCAAATAATTTTGACTTCAAATAATAATCATTTTGAATTATCGTGATTACAATTATGAACAAAATAATCGTGATTAGAATTTTTCCCATAATCGAGCAGCCCTAACGGACACTGAGTATGTGTCAATAGTGCTACCCCATTTGCACAGGGCTCCCAGGACAAAAGTTGTTTAAGAGCACTTAGTCAAGACTAAAGCCAATGTGAAGATGCTGGACTTTAACACTGTGTATGGGTATAGTAAGTAACGAGTAAACGAAGAAAACAAAGCACAAAGGCAGAACATTTCATAGGCAAGATTTAGTTTTTTACAGTTTTGTATGCTATAAACATTTGTGCTAAACAAGTAAGGTTATTGGTTATTATTCAGTCATTGACTGCATTCACCATATGGCAAAGTAGCACCAACTCGCACTAAATACTAGGTTTATGCTAGTTTTGTTGAATAAAATCAGCAAACAATATCAATGAAATATGAAAACAAGATGCTGTTGTGCAGAGAAAGAAACTTGTATTAGTGTCGGCTAAGTGAATGAGTCGTTCACTATGGAACAAAATCAGTGCCAAAAGTCTTGAATTAAAAAGCTTGTTGAATATCACAAACTGAAAAAAATAATACACCGTATTAACAAGTTCTTGCATTTTAATGACTTTAATTCCAGGGTTTGTATTTTTAGGTCCTGAAATTTAACATATCTGTTTATTTAAGCTGTGAATATTTCAACGAAAAATATTTCAAACACGTTTTCATACTTAAAAATTCAATAATTCATATTCAATTTTCAGATTTCACTTACAAAATATTCAATACCCTTTAAAAATACGATGTATAATATTCAAAAGGTCATTTTCAGTTCATTTTATTTCAGTTCTAATATTCGCTTCCATAAATTCAGTGGATCAAATTCGACTGATAAAATTCAACATTACATCCGGGAACTGCAGGAGAAGCAATAGATTGCAGATTGAAGATCGCCAACTGCTCTAGCTTTCACCAGCAGGTGGAGATGGAATAATGTAAGATTTTTAACCCAGTAAACAGGCGAGAAAAAGGCTAATAAAGGCAAAAAAGTAGCATTCAATTTTAATATCAATGCCTTGGACATTATAAATAATAAAAAGTATGAGTAAAATGTGTAAATGAGGGTTTAGTCATCTATAATTACCCTTATGTAACGGAAGCCAGCTGGTGATCGCGTAAAGCTCACTCCTCGGTTGCAGGGACAGACGTTGTTCTGCAATCTTATCGGAGCTTGTCTTCCATAGACGCGAAGTATTATATTGACAGCTAAAGAATATAAACGTAAGTGAAACAGGAGAGGAAATATAATAATAATAATAATAATAATAATACAAAATAGATAAACATTGACAGGGCTAAGAACAATTACGAACAAAGATTTTCAAAACCAGAGAGATTTTATGAGAATGTCACAAAACAGTTTACTTGGAAATGGTAAACAGAGAGTTCAGGTATGATTCAAGGTTGGTTATGGATTTGGTCTGATTTAAAATAATTTAACATGCGAATTGCATTAAAGGAGCGTCTTTAGTTATTATTTAAACGCAGCTATGTCAGGATTGGGATAGGTTATAATTTCATTATTTAAGTTATGATTGTTATTATTATTATTTTATGACGTCTATTTGGGCTATTGCGCTTAAATAAGTCATCCGTGATTCTAAATTAATATTTCTATTTATCCTTTTTAGCTATCACTTTGCTATCGTCTTTCTCTTCTTTTTTTCCGAATTTTTGGGGTTCTGCCACGGTTAAACGTTTGCAAAATGTCTTTAGTTTGTCCAGATTATTGCTTTTCCTCTAAAATAGAGACAAAGCAGAAGGAAAATGAATGAATTGATGAATGAATGAAATGATTTACGCTTTTATGCATGTGCGGTGCGGCTTGCTCACGACAAAGTCGAACGAGTGGCCGCAAGCTCCAGTGGCCAGTCAGAGCCAGCGCCCCACAGCAAACTGGTTAAGAGATGCTGGATGGCTGCCGATATATGATAGGAATTCTTCTGAAGTTTCAGATGACATCTGGGCGTGTGCATAATAATGTAAAATGAAAGTGAAAGTCATGACATTTGGCCAAGCATAAGAATAGCCTACAAGAGTGTTTCGATTATTATATTTATCATGACATATGTCATGCTTGGGCTTATATGAATAACACCTCGCTGTTTACCATTTCCGAAAGTGGAGCTGACGTCGGCGAGAAATTGCTTGTATAATTGTAAAAAGAGTGATGAATATTAATGGATTTCTTATATCTGTCATTTCTGATAATATAATTGATTAGTGTGAGCTTATGAGTTTCCAACACAGCAAAACTGCATCCAGAATCCTAAACCAATAACTTTGTCAAGCAAAAATTATGATTTTATAGGCTACTGATTTTTTTTAAAAAACAAGAAAAAAGAAACTATTAGCTACCCTAGCAATTGTTCATTTAAATATGATCATCTCAAAATATTAAATAAAAACATAATGGTTTGACTTTGTGAAATCATAAAACACACTTGCAGAAAAGAGTTAATAGAATAAATGAGCAAATACATTCTCTCTAGTAGATGGCGATTAAAGCTCAGTAATACCCCATGAGGATGAACATTGAGCTGCTTTGCAGGAACCCCTCAACCACGCATGTCAAACCACGCATTATAAACATTAATCTTATGAAACTAGCTCAAGTGACAACTATATTAAGTTTAAACCAGTTTAAATAAGTTTATATGTTTAATAACTGCAAAAAAGATCAACATTGCTAATCATAAAATACAAACGGTCGCTGAAAGGTTATAAATAACGGTTTTCTCATTTAATAAAAACAAATTAAAGTCAGTTATAACTGCCTATTATCAAACCACAGGCGACTCATTTTATTACTTATCATTGGCTGCGACATTGCCACTTTTGCGTTATTACCTTTTTCTCGCCTACAGGCTACATAACAATAAAACAATAATCTGGACAAACTAAGACATTTTGCAAACGTTTAACCATGGCAGAACCCCAAAAATTTGAAAAAAGAAGAGAAAGACAGGCAGAGTAATAAAAAGGATAAATAGAATTATTAATTTAGAATCACAGATGAGTTATTTAAGCGCAATAGCCCAAATAAATGTCATACAATAATAATATTAACAACCATAATAATAATTTAAATAATGAAAATGTATAACCTATCCCAATCCTGACATAGCTGCGTTTAAACAGCGCAAACATTACTTCTTATAGTTATGCCATATTAGACGGTTCTGTGTGAATAACTGAAGACGCTCCTTTAATGCAATTCGCTTGTTAAATTATTTTAAATCAGACGCCCCATCCATAACCAACCTTAAATCATACCTGAACTCTCTGTTTACCATTTCCAAGTAAACTGTTTTGTGACATTCTCATAAAATCTCTCTGGTTTTGAAAATCTTTGTTCGCAATTGTTCTTAGCCCTGTCAATGTTTATCTATTTTGTATTATTATTATTATTATTATTATATTTCCTCTCCTGTTTCACTTACGTTTATATTCTTTAGCTGTCAATATAATACTTCGCGTCTATGGAAGAAAGAGTCAATAAAGATAGACAATGTGTAACATCATATTCATCAAAAGACGGTTTATGTGCAAGTAACCGCACCGGTCCGAGCAGGTAACGAGCCAACATGGGAGACAAGCTCCGATAAGATTGCAGAACAACGTCTGTCCCTGCAACCGAGGAGTGAGCTTTACGCGATCACCAGCTGGCTTCCGTTACATAAGGTGAATTATAGATGACTAAACCCTCATTTACACATTTTACTCATACTTTTTATTATTTATAATGTCCAAAGCATTGATATTAAAATTGAATGCTACTTTTTTGCCTTTATTAGCCTTTTTCTCGCCTGTTTACTGGGTTAAAAATCTTACATTATTCCATCTCCACCTGCTGGTGAAAGCTAGAGCAGTTGGCGATCTTCAATCTGCAATCTATTGCTTCTCCTGCAGTTCCCGGATGTAATATTGAATTTTATCAGTCGAATTTGATCCACTGAATTTATGGAAGCGAATATTAGAACTGAAATAAAATTAACTGAAAATGACCTTTTGAATATTATACATCGTATTTTTAAAGGGTATTGAATATTTTGTAAGTGAAATCTGAAAATTGAATATGAATTATTGAATTTTTAAGTATGAAAACGTGTTTGAAATATTTTTCGTTGAAATATTCACAGCTTAAATAAACAGATATGTTAAATTTCAGGACCTAAAAATACAAACCCTGGAATTCAAGTCATTGAAATGCAAGAACTTGTTAATACGGTGTATTATTTTTTTCAGTTTGTGATATTCAACAAGCTTTTTAATTCAAGACTTTAGGCATTGATTTTGTTCCATAGTTCACAAACTAGTTCGCTCCCTCTGTTAGAATGAGATGTGAAAGCAGGAGAGGGTGTATGTTTCAGGATATGGATTAACCACCGTAAAGTTGGCACCCCATAGAAACAAATTCCCATAACTACGCCATTTGTTTGTGCTACGTTTGTGCTGTTTTGTGCCCCAAAAAACGTACATTTGTGCTGGTTTGGGGTCTGAGATATAAAGCATTATTTTTTAACCATGTGACATTCATTTTCCACCCCATGTTACTCAAATCACTCCAAATTAGCACAGGTCGTTTGTGCTCGATTTGTGCTGGTTTGTGCCATTAAAACAAACACTTTATCTGTTTTCGTTGTTTAGAAATAACCAAAATGTTTTGGGAGCCGTGACAGCACTTTCCACCCTAGGTTTTCTAAATCGCACATAACTGTTGTCAGTTGTTTGTGCCCGATTTGTGCTGTTAAAATAAACACTTTATCTGTTTTCGTTGTTTAGATATAACCCAAATATTTCGGGAACCGTGGCGTCACTCTCGACCCCAGGTTTTCTAAATTGCACAAAACTGGTGTCATCCGTTTGTGCCCAATTTGTGCTGGTTGGTGCCGTTAAAATAAACACTGTATCTATTTTCGTTGTTTAGATATAAGCAAAACATTTCAGGAGCCGTGATGTCAGTTCGCTCCAGTTCCTTTAAATCTCACACAAAGTGCTGTTATTCGTTTGTGCCATTGAAATGAACATCAGACATTTATATTTCTGCAAGAATATATTATTTTCATTTGCTCTCAATTTGTGTTCATTTGTGCTGCAAAAAAAAATATATATATGTTATTAGTAGCCCTAAAAAAATCATATTAGATCATTCAGAGGTCTCTCCCTAGTTGCTCCATATTTATCAAAATAGTCTCGCTTGTGTTTTTCATTTGTGCTGGATTGTACCTATGAAAGTTTCGTTAGTTCTGCCTCTATTATTGAAATATCGAATTAAAGATAATGACATCACCAGCCACCCCACATATCATATTTTAATATATTGTAGTTTTTATGTGCTGGTAGAATTTTCATGTGTGATGCTTTGTTTTTTAGATATTAAAATAGCCTAGGTCAATATAGGTTATTCTGAGATCTTTTTGATCAGAAAAAGCATGAAGCTCATTTTGACAGATTTAAGAGCCAATTAGGGCTGGGCAATATGGCAAAAAAACGTTTTTCATAAAGTTTGACCGTGTGTGCGTAACTAGTCAACTTAAAACATTACAACAACATGACTATATATATACACATATATATATAAATATATATATATATATATATATATACACATATACACATATATATAAATATATATATATATAAATATATACACATATATATGTGTGTGTGTGTGTGTGTGTGTGTGTGTGTGTGTGTGTGTGTGTGTGTGTGTGTGTGTGTGTGTGTGTGTGTGTGTGTGTGTGTGTGTGTGTGTGTATTTTTGCAAGTTTTGCTCAGTCTAGGAAAGATCATTGGCTGTCAACTCGGCTTTGACTTTGTCTTTTTTTGATTGAATGACAGGTTGTAGATGCTGTTGCCTTTTCTTAAAAAGATACAGTGGAAGTAAAGGACTGAACATGGAAACTGTAAAGCCAAATTTAACCCAATGCGTTAAGTTGTGGACGTATAGCAGGAGCAAATACAAGCACCAGATGTGTGCCTAATATAAAATAATCTAATTATTCCATTTTTCTTCCCCCCCCCCCTTTAAATACCGATCATTTAATGTACTTTGCACTACTCTCTTTATTATGCTGCCTGACTATAGCCCAGAATAGCGTGAGAGAATAAACTAAAGCACATTTGATGCAAAGGTATTAACAGAAGAAAAATACACAACTTAAGACACTTAAATGCTTGTATTTGTTGTATTTGCACCAGCTCTGTGATGCGTGCCCACAACTTCATGCATTGGGTTTAATTAGGCTGTCCAGTCTCTGTGTTCAGTTCGTCACTACCATGATTGAAACCCAGACAGGCAAAGTAATACAGAGAGTGAACCAAAGCGCATCGGTGCAATTATAAATTGTGATACCTCGATTTATTATAAAATTAAATTGTCTTAAAACGTAAATTCGAATTAATCTAATTAATTCGATATAATTTTTGCAAACATTACTTTTCTGAAATTACATTATTAAGGAGAAAGTCAAAATGTGCAGATATAAAACCAACTTTACCCCAATGCCAGTTTTGGGGAAATATAATCCCTGTACCCGCTTGCCTGTCACCAACTGCGCTGGACAAAGTGCATGTGCCCATATAGTTTTCTAACTGGTGAATGACATGGTGTAGTGTTATATAAAATTGTTTCTGGTCATCTATTCAGTGCGCCTTCAGACTTCAGGAGGAACCTACTGCACCTTATACCTACTAACATAAACATCCTACAAAGTCATGCAACATATATAATCATACCTGTAATTGTCACTTTTTTTAATGAGAAGTTTATCTGCAATGCTACAAAATCTTTTTTTTAAATCTACTATTTTTTTTATAAACTAGTTCAGAAGTTGTAATTGCTTTTGCCAGTAAGTACAACAACATGAGAGCTCTACTGTAGAATTTTATGAACTCTGCTATAAATATAACAATCACTGCTCAAAAAGTGATGCCCTATCTGTACAATAATGGTGATGTTACAATAGCATTCAAATATTCAATCTTTTGTTTTGATTCGTATTGTTGATTATGTCGTGTGTGGATGTGTGATATCAACTCCAAAGACAATAGTTTCAGTTTCGTAAATGGAATGACATTTTGTTATGGCCTAGATTATTGTTCATAAAGTGTTGCTTCTTGTATGTGACTCATAGTTGTGCACACAAATAGATGTGTTAGTTCTCATTTCTCACTGCCAGTTTTAGCCTGAATGCTGTTTTTGTTTTGTTTTGTTTGTTTTTGTCTCTGCAGGGTTGGAAAAACATCTCTAATGAACCAGTATGTGAATAAAAAGTTCAGTAACCAGTATAAAGCCACTATAGGAGCAGATTTCCTGACAAAAGAAGTGATGGTTGACGACCGGCTTGTCACAATGCAGGTACAGATGATGACATTATACTGAAAAACGCATTACTTTTTCTTATGCCAGTGTGTCATCTATGACAACTCATTTCTGCTGTGGTATACACAACCTCAAGTCAGAAAAGTTGTGACAAAATGGAAAATAAAAATAAAAAAGTAGTGATTTCTAAATTTACTCTGACTTGTATTTAATTGCAGACAAAGCAACAAACATCATTTAATGAGTTCCTCATGATCTTTATTGTTTTGTTTTTTCACAATAAACACATATTGCAATTGTGGTAATGCAACACAACTGAAAAACAATTGGGACAGGAGCAATTTTATTCTGGTAAATTTGTTAAAATAATGATGTGATTTGAAGCAGGTGGTGTCAACAGGGGATTGTAATTGTGATTTGGTACAAAAGCAGCATCCGAGCAAGGTTTAGTCCTTTAAGCCTGGTTTTACTTGACGCGTTTGCCAGTTCGCTTGAGTGTTCGCCAGTTTGTGGCAAACGTAATGTCACCGCTGTGTTTGTAGAGGTTTGTCACACTTGATTCGAGTTTAAGGCAAGGCAAGGCAAGTTTATTTATATAGCACATTTCATACACAATGGCAATTCAAAGTGCTTTACATAAACAATAATAAAAGAAACAAGTAGAATAAAAACAAAAACAAATAATAAAAATGCATAAAAACAAAACAAAACATAAAAACAGGTAAAATGTGATATAAAAGAATGAAGAAGAAGAGAAAAACATGACAGTGCAATCAGTCGGACGCAGCACAGTGCTCATTCAGTAAAGGCACAGCTAAACAGATATGTTTTCAGTCTTGATTTGAATGTGCCTAATGTTGGAGCACATCTGATCATTTCTGGAAGCTGATTCCAGCAGCGTGGGGCATAGTGGCTAAAAGCTGATTCACCCTGCTTTGACTGAACTCTTGGAACTTCTAGTTTATATGATCCTAATGATCTGAGTGATCTGTTAGGTTTGTATTCAGTGAGCATATCTGTGATGTATTTAGGTCCTAGGCCATTTAGTGATTTATAGACCAGTAATAATACTTTAAAATCTATTCTGAATGTAACTGGCAGCCAGTGTAAAGACCTGAGGACAGGTGTGATGTGCTCTGATTTTCTGGTTCTGGTTAGAATTCTGGCTGCACCGTTCTAGATGAGCTGCAACTGTCTGACTGTCTTTTTAGGAAGACCAGTGAGGAGTCCATTACAGTAATCCACCCTGCTGCTGATAAAAGCTTTAATATGAATGACTTTGAAGAGATTTTGTCTGAAACGGGTATGCCTGTACAGACATCTTTAAGATCCGTCCATGTGTGATATTAGGGATAGCTAGATGGACAATAATTCTTGACTAGAAATTACAACAGTAGTGGGAAAATAAGAAAGTTTTTTTAAAAACAAAAAAGAGGCCATGGCAAAAGTGGACACCCAGGTGGTTTTAATATTACAGAATATGTTTTTCCACCAATTATAGAATTTACACTTATGTGTATATTGCACTTTTGAATTTAAAACAATTTAATAGTTACAAAACTAAAATAAAGTAAATTATTTATTTGAAATCTGGAAAAGCTTATTTGAACCTATCTGTTTACAATATACTGCTGCCCTGTTTTTCTAGGCTTTATTGGTAATAATAGTTTATTCTTTCCATAATATATATATATATATATATATATATATATATATATATATATATATATATATATATATATATATAGATAGATATATATATATATATATATGTATATATATGTATATATATATGTATATATGTATATATATGTATATGTAGAGCAACTCATGTTCTGTGGTCATTAATATTTTAATAAACCTTAATAGGTAAAACTGTCCAAGATATGAACAAAAGCAAGTGATGCATCAAAGTTTGATAATTTTTTTTTAATGCTTATAAAAATTTGTATAATTCTTATAATAATTTATAAAAATAACAAAAGTAATTTGTTTAAAAATATTGAATGATATTAATAATCTGACATAGTTCTGGAAATTTCCTACTTCTGTTTATCCGTCTGACTTTACGGTGGGTTTCTTTTGACTGCCTCCTGTCGTTTTAAAAAATTTCACAATGGCGAACATGTCCAGTATAAAAGCCTTGTACATTTTGTGAGGTGCGCACAGTCAGCAGAGGTGTATAAGTGAAAGTATAAATCAGGCTGTAGGAGCAAAGATGGGAATAGGATCACCAATTTTGCTACAAATATGTGAGAAAATGTTTAAAAACAATGCACCTCAATAAAAGATACGACATTTGGATATTTCACATTCAACAGTGCAAAACAATTAAAAGATTAAAAGAATCTTGTCCAAGACTCTGTCTCGTGTACAAACCTCTTCTATTTGTGCTCGTCATTCCCTTATACAATTCAAATTATTGCAGTGAGTTTATTGGACTAAGGCAAGAATATCCAAAATTAACCCTGGTTTTGATCCAATTTGTGATCGATGTCGACAAGCTCCAGCCACTCTTCTTCATACTTTCTGGCTTTGTCCAGCGCTAAGCACTTTTTGGGCATCAATTGTTAAATCATTTTCTGAATGCTTTCTTTTAGATATTGAACCATGCCCCCTAGTAGCATTATTTGCACTTAACCCTACAAATGTTTCTTTGTCATATACACAATCAAATGCACTTGCCTTTTGTTTAATAATTGCTAAAAGGCTCATAACACTAAACTGAAAAAAATCCTTCCCCACCCAGTTACATACATTAGATGCATGATCTAATGCAGTCTATGCAAATAGAAAAGATTAGATATACAGTTTGCGGCAATACTGAAAAATTTTACACTGTCTGGCAACCCTTCCTCTTACACTTTAAAAATAAAAATAATATATATATATATATATATATATATATATATATATATATATATATATATATATATATATATATATATATATATATATATGTATATATATGTATATGTATGCAAGTATATAGCTGACTTATTTTCCCTGCCCCTGGCATAGTTATGAATGGAGAGTGTTTTTTTTTTTTGTTTTTTACTTTTTTTTTTTAAATATATATTATTCTTTTATTTTCTACTGTTGTACCCTTTGAGTATTTGTATTTATTTATTCTCTGTACTGTTGTTGTTTTTTGTTGTTGTTGTTTTTCCTTAATGCTTGACTATGTAATTATATTGTTTTATTCATAGAGAAAGAAATTGTGAGCAAAATTGTATTCTACCACCACAGTGGAGCAGTTGATGTCTAATGATTCTGTGTATCTGATGCTGTGGCTCTCTGACTAACATATTTCAATAAAAAACAGAGTTAAACTAAAGAATCTTGAGGAATTTCGGTGCGTAAAGGACCAGAGAGCAAGCTGATCAACCATGATCTCGATAAGCGATATCACCACATGGGCTCAGGATTACTTTAGCAAACCTTTGTCTAGGGCTGGGCGATAATTCGATATTGATAATTATCATGATATAAAATGTTTCAATAAAACTATAATGACAGTTCGATAATTGCTCAATAATATTTACACACTATGCGTAACGTTGCACAAGCATTTTGCAGTCTGCCCTTCCGGATGCCGCACGCTGTACAAGGTTACAGCCATACAGTGTTAGTTGTACTTAAGAGAGTAAGAAAAAAAAGGGTAAAAAAGGTCAGAGCCACAGACAAGAAACGTGACTAGACCTCAGTCATGAGCTACGTAGTTTTTTGCTATCCGACACAAAACAGCGACTCATGTCATCAAAAGCAGGCAACACTACAAGCCTGTTTTATCATTTAAAACAAGACCACCCTTATGAAGATGCTAAGAAATTACAGACCTAAACAAGTACTGGAAAACCAGGGCAACTACCCAGCAGAGTCTCATGTCATCATTTTCAAAACCCATGCCTTAGGAGAAAAACCCCAGAAAAGACAGACAAAAGATATGACAGACAACACAATCTCAAACACATCCTAATGAACACTTGAAGCTTGCTCTACAGGCTGTATTAAGGATATTTACACTACAACATTTACAATAAAAATAATATAATAAAGTATCAAATTGAAAGGATCAAACAAAAAAAAAAATTTAAACTTAAGGGGATGATAGTGAAGCCAAACAAAAGAAATAAATATAACAAAACATTTCTAATTTATGAATAACCCCTCACCTTGCTAAAAACTGATGAAAAGAAAAAAGTCCTTCAGTGCAGTGCGTCGCATTCTTCCCTATTCTGAATAAAATAAATATAAAGATGACATTCACCTCTTACCTGATGTCTTTAACAATAAATTTTGTTTGTGTTTGCAAAATGGAAGTCGTATGACATCTTCCCTATCCACCTTACTCTGATAAAAGAGTGAAGTTGAGGAAATAGGGTGGCTCAATATTGTCGGGAAAGAGCTGAGCCCAAAAAAAAAAAAACATACAAATCAATCTAAATCAAAATGAACAAAACTCACAAAATTTCTCAAAGTGGGCAAAAGTAATGCAAAATAATTTTACCCAAACCAAAGTTAAGCAAAAAAACGAAATTCATAATCATGTGAGCAAAATACACCAAAAACTAGATCAAAGAAAAAAAGCGCGCTCTCCGCTTTTCATATCCCTGCGCGGCCGCGCCATCTCTGCCTGTCCTAATGCACCTAATGTATTTTTTTTATTACCCGACCCGCGGTTTATCCGCAGTGCCTGCAGATATAACCGCCATTTACGCATCACTAAGGGAAGGCAAAATTACAACCTTTACGGCTCCTCACATGTTTTTGTTGTGATGCGCGATTTGTAAAATAAGAGTTTGCATAGGCCTATTTGTGCTAGTCTGTCAGACAAATTTGGTTAAAACATCCGCGGATATAACGGAGATCTGCGCATAACTGGGTTTATGTGTCCCGCTATGCGATGTCAAGAGGGTGACTGCATAAGGTAAACTGCACACACTTGATTATGTAACGCGTGGACGTGTCTCACAGCGCAAAGCATAACTAAACCTTTACATGTCCATGTTTAATCAGTCATCAATAAGATCTATTGATTAAAGTGTTATTGACAATCAATCGATCAAGTAATCGTTAACATCCCTAAATAAAATATATTAAAGTATATTTCACCCTAATACATCCAAATTCATCCAAAATTGAAAATTCTGTGACCATTAACTCACATTTACTTGTTCCAAACCAAGTTTTTTTTTCTGATGTTGAACAATAATATCCAATAACTTGTAATGTCTTTTGTTGTTGAAAACTTGAACAGTAAATGCTGAATTAAGATTGTTCTTTTGTTTATTATTTTATTATTTATATTGTCAGACAGCTAACACATTTAACTAAATGTGTTAAATCAGATGCACAAAGTGATTGGCATACTGAAAGTTTAATAAAATTGATAGATATAAAGATGTTACATTTATTGTGATAAATATCAATATCGACTGATATGAAAAAAATTATTGTGATAATTTTTTTTGCCATATCGCCCAGCTCTACCTTTGTCAAGTACCACAATACGAAGTAACATCCAAATATGCCAGTGAAAATTGAACTGTGACAAAAAGAATCCCTATGTTTACAGTGTCCCATTCTTCCTGCAAACATGTCTTAAAGTGGGCAAATGTACAAGGTCTTTATTGTCTCATTTTGTGCTTAAAAAATCACCACACATTTTCTATAGAAGACTGTTAGAGACTGCAGACAGGCCAATCAAGTACCTGTATCCTCTTCCTCTTAAAACTGAACTTTGCTAAAAGGAAACCCTATTTTAACAGTGTCCAGAAGCACAGTCGACTTCTCTGGGAGAGTCCATCACAAAGTGGAAATTTGTATTGTGGTCAGATGAATTAGTATTTCAGGTATTTTTTCAGAGAAAACGTTTGCTCTGAACCAAAGAAGAAAAGGATCATCCAGACTCTAATTAGCAACAAGTCCAAAAGCCAGGCTCTGTCATGGTCAAATGCCCTTGGCAAAGGTAACTTGCCCTTTTGTGTTGGCACCATTAATGCTAAAAAAGTACATAGATATTTTGTAGCTCAATATGCTGCACCATTGCACATTTCAACAAGACAATGCAAAACCACATTCTACACGTTTCAAAGTCCTGGCTACAGAGCAAGAGGATACAGGTACTTGACTGGCCTGTCTGCAGTCCCGACTCCTTTTCAATAGAGAAATCGTGGTGTATTTTAAAGCACAAAATATGACGATGAAGACCCTGTACTGTTGCCCACCTTAAGACTTGTTTGCAGGAAGAATGGGACAAAATTACATTTAAAACACTTCATCACTTGGTCACTTTTGGTGTTTATTAAAAAAAAATAATAATTAATTATGAGCAACACACTAAATAATGTTTGTTGTATTGTCTGCAATGAAATACAAGTCAAAGTAAATGTAGAAGCTGTCGAGTGTCGACGGTTTGTTCTGTAGACCATCAAAAAAAGATTTGCTTAAAGGGGCTATTAATTTTTACCTTAAAATGTTTTTTTTTTTTCTAAACTGCTTTTATTCTAGTCGAAATAAAACAAATAAGACTTTCCCCAGAAGAAAAAAAATTATATCAGACATACTGTGAACCGTTCCTTTCTCTGTTAAACATCATTTGTGAAATATTCAAGAAAGAAAATTCTAGAGGGGGGCTAATAATTCTGACTCCAACTGTTTAACAATAATTGTCACTGTATATTATATAATTTATTTTCATCTTAAATTTTTTTAATGTTTATACCTTAGACTTCAAAGAATTCTACGAAAATATATACATTATATTTAAAATTTTATGAATTAAGAAATCTCAGAATTGTGAGCTATATCTCAGAGTTGTGAGCCAAATGTAAATGTTTATTTATTAATATTTTATGCATGTATACAATTCTGAAATCTTAAATCTGGATAGGAAAAAAAGTCAGTATTGTGACAAACTCTAAATAAAGTTTTTTGTATAATAGTATATTATTTATTTGTAATAACTAGCTTGTCACAAAGCTAATTCTTTCCAACTAATTTTGAGATTTCTGAATTTAAAGTTATAAAGCTCAAAGCTAAATTTAAATTTTGTGAGGAAATTGTCAATTCTAAATATAATTCTTGTAATGGAATTTCTGTATGAAAATCTTCACAATTATCAATTCTGACTTCAAATATTGAAATTTCATGTTGGAATTTTGGGAAAGAAAATAAGAGTTGTGAGGTTTACAATTGGAATTGCAAGAAAGAATTTAAAACTGTATGGGACAAAGTTGCAATTGCCTTTTTTTGTCTTCCAAATGACCCTTTTACCCCAGTTAGCTAAAGATAGTTAATGCCATTCATCATTAATCGCATTTAATTCATTTAAGTCGTAAAAACAAAACACAAATGGTATTTCAGATTTGACTTTTCATCAGAATTCCAAAAATATCTGACTGTCCACCTTTAAAATTGTGTGTGTGTTTTTTTTATGCAGCTTGACAGAATATCCATATATTAATGATCATGTGTTTTGTTTCTTTCTCAGATATGGGACACAGCAGGTCAGGAGCGGTTTCAGTCTCTGGGTGTAGCTTTCTATCGTGGTGCTGACTGCTGCGTCCTGGTGTTTGACGTCACTGCCCCGAACACCTTCAAGACACTGGACAGCTGGAGGGATGAGTTTCTGATCCAGGCCAGTCCTCGAGACCCAGAAAACTTCCCTTTCGTGGTGCTGGGCAACAAAATCGATCTGGAGAATAGACAGGTGAGTGATGTACCAAAAGACATTTATTTTATAGTGGTTTGCACGGTTGATATGAATAGTTCATCATATAAAAGTATAGGGGGGAAAAGAGGCCACTTGGAAAGATCTTTGGATTTATAAACCAAAAGGGCATATGCAGAAGAACTTTTGGTGAAAGCACTTCTGGTGAATTGTATTTACAAAATTGCTGTGTTTAAGGTCTGTTTTCTTTAAAAATCACTGATCTTCACTACCTGATTGATATACGATATAAAGTGTGCCTCAGAATGTACCAGAAGCACTGCATTAAATTACATTTTCCCTATCCATGTCTTTAAAATATGAACATTTGTTTTACCCTAGTATTTTCAATAGTGTTTTCTGCACTTTTCATCTTGTTTTACGCTGGAACCACTAAATGAATAGTGAAGTCTATTTAACTGATTATCTTTTAAGTACTATACAACATCCAAGGCGTAAAAGGAACTGTTTAAAATAAAAAAGCCACATTAACCGTTCACCAGTAGTTTATCGGTATAGGAGTACAAAAACACTAGCTGTGCATATACCCCATTATACTGTACAATGCCTGACTAAAGGTCTTGTCGTCGATCCCAGTTGAAATAGCAACAAATCATGACTTAACATCTAGTTGATCATTTGGAAAGTTGGTAGAAGGTAGATTAAAACCCGCATGGACTTAAGATTTTCACTGAAAACAGCCAAGTTTGGTGAAGGAAGAATCATGGTTTGGGGTTACATTCAGTATGTGAGCGTGCGAGAGATCTGCAGAGTAGATGGGAACATCAATAATATGAGGTATTGAGACATTTGTGCTGCCCATTACATTACAAATCACAGGATAGGGCAAATTCTTCAGCAGAATAGCGCTCCTTCTCATACTTCAGCCTCCACATCAAAGTTCCTCAAAACAAAGAAGGTCAAGATGCTCTAGGATTGGTCAACTCAGTCACCATACATGAACAATATTGAGGTCATGAAACTCATACACAATATTAATTCTTTGTTCACTGCACCATGACTTTATATTCTATACTGTACATTATTTCTGACAAGTGATGAGACTTTTGTCTAAGCAAAGTCAGACCTTACTGTCCTAATTAAATAATTAAAAATCAAGGCATGGTCATATTTTGTGTTGGTAAAATAAGCGTAATCTAGAGGCCTTTGCCCTTTATATAAGCTACTTCTGATACCAAATCATTAACTAGAAGTCAATTTATTATTTGTTGTTTCTAAAACTTCCTAAAAGGCATTAAATCAGGACAGTCACTTTGACATTTGAATTTAAGACGTTCAGCGTAGAAGGATTTTTTTCATGGCAATCCAGACTTCCTGAAAAATGTCATTTCACTGATACTTATAGATGTGAGTACAGAGTTTATTTCAAGATCATGTCACATTCTAAGAGGCCAAGGGAGCTAATTTAAGAGCAGCTGCACCCTCTTCATACACACGTAAAGTGTCTCGGAGAAGTTTTAAGTCATTGAATTTCCAGTGAATGATACCTCAAATAACTTGTCGTGAGGAAGACAGGATACATTATACACAATATCAGCCCTGGTTTTTTGACGTAGGATGTTGTGATGATTTGTAAGCAACAAGATATTGAGATGCATTGATGAAGTGTTTTAGACCATTTCTGGGACCATGATTGACATGCAAACAACTGGGATCCTGATTGGGAAGCTTCATGTCATTCTGAGCATGTTTCATTTTTGTTTGGTCCTCCATGACTGGATCTGTCACAAATCTAATGTTAAACAAGAACACTGAAGTTTTTCTGTTCACAGCTTTCAAACATGGTGAAACGAAAGCCAGTAATGGAACTGATTGATGCTTCTATTCATTGAAAAACTGGTACTCTTATGGTTCTTCACCCCATCAAGGGCTGAAGAAAACAAGCAATTGGTTGGTCAGAATTCAGTGTGCGTTTCAACATATTTTTTTGTCAACAGAAACAACAAGAAATTAGGAGTTACAGTTGCATTGCCACGACTATTGTGTAGGCTGAATCCAGTTTTTTCGATTAATTCTGTAGACTGAGGGGCAGTTTACACAACATTTTCAGCCAAAAACTGTAAACTTTGTAAGTGTTGCCTGTTTACACAGCAATGGTGTTTTTTTGACTGAAAGTGGATGCATTTGAAAAATGGGTTTCTAAGTTCAGCCGTTATTGTGTCCAAAAAGACGAGTCTTTGAAAATGATGCATGTTTAGGGGGGTGTAAAATAATCCCAAATAACGGTCTGGCTTATTTGTAAACGCACATCATTTTGAAAAGTTGTCTTGTAGAGTAAAAAATTTGTTTTTAAGGGCAAAAGAAAATAAAATTTTTGGCTGAATTGTTGTGTAAACAGCCGGAATCCAATATTTTTCTAACGGTGGTCACCATAATCCTTGGGGATTACAATTTCTAAGTTTGGGGTTGGCAATAATGTGTTCACAAAGAGTACGTTTATTTGATCAAAAATACAGTAATGACATTAATACTGTGACATTTATTGTCATTTTCAAATATCTGATTCTTGTTTCAGGGGCTGATCACACCGAATGCACTTTTACGTTCTAAAAATGTGAGGCGCACCACACTGCCCTTTTTGCTGACAAGAAAAAAAGTAGCGATTTTTATGCCGCAAGGCAACGACTGAATCAGCTGGGTTATGTGCGAGAGTGTTGCTGTTGACATAGCTATAATTTAGTTATATAATTATATTGTGAAAATCAAGATTTGTGATTTATACGGCACCGGATAACTCAAAACAGCAACCACAAGTCTCTCCTCCATCTTCAAACACCTCCGTTGTTGTCTTGACCACACAAACACTGCAGTCATCTGAACAGAAACCCCGCCTCTGCTTTCATTTGATTGGAGAATGAAAAAGATGCGACTGGCGTAACGCAATTTTTTTTTCTTTTTCCAGCTCAAAGTGGATTTTTTTTTTTTCAACTACGAGCACACAATGGCAAAAACGCGAGGCGCAGCAGCCGGTTAAAACGCGAGGCGCACAGGGCACATAAGCAGCGTACAAAACACTCACGGTCGTTAGTAAATTTTTTCAAAAAAGACGCCTCCCATCGCAAAAAGCTTGTTCAGTGTGATCAGCCCCTTGTTATGTATTAAAATATATAAACAATTTAATTATTATATTTATTATTTTATATTTATTTATTTTTGACTATATATATTTTTCAAAACCATGGTATATTTTTCTTTTTCAGGATTTTTTGAAAGTTGAAAACACATTTTGATTGTGCTTTTACACATTTATATCCTCAGGTAACAACTAAGCGAGCACAAGCTTGGTGTCAGAGTAAGAACAACATCCCATATTTTGAGACCAGTGCAAAGGAGGCCATCAACGTAGAGCAGGCATTCCAGACCATCGCGCGCAATGCACTCAAACAGGTTTGTGTGCTGTATATTCAAATTGATAAAGTATATAGTTAAAGTCAGTTTACACTTCTGCATCAATAAACAATTACATACTGTTTGCTGTACTTTTACATAAATCCTGACGTGCAACTCTCAAAAAATGTAACTACTACACATCTGCACACTTTACAAGTCCCACGGAGGAGCTCCAGCTGGAATTTTGTGTTTTGCATAACAATGCAACATACTTACCTAAACACTCATTTCCGGAGTAGACTGATGATCTACTTGGTGGAAATGGTTGCAAATGTTTGCCACTGACATTTTAAAAACATTACCTTTCTGCCAACATTTGAGCACTGAAAAGTATGTTTACTCTTTGCTAGATGTTTCCTTTGAAGGTCATCACTTCACCACTCTGTTCACCATGTGCAAATACAGACAAACAGACACTTTGGAGCGTTTAAAAAGCTGCATCTATCAGCTGATCCATCTCTTATATATCAGCACATAGACAGATCAGCTGATAGATGCAACTTTCGAGCACTGCAGTGCCTGTGTATCTGGTGAAAAACCAGTGAGGTGATGACCTTCAGAGCTAATCAGTCATATATGTTGAGCATCTGAACACAGTGGCCAAACAGCAGTTTAAGACAACTTAAATGTTAGCCGGAAATAGACGTTTTGAAAATTTCAGTATCAATTGATACTTAAGTCGATACTTGGCAAACCTACCTCAAATACTGGCCTATTGATGTGTATGGGAAAGGTACCCGGTGTTCTGCAGTTTAGTTACAATTCCAATTGGGCACACCTGAACCAGCTACTCAAGCTCTTACTAGGTAAGCTACAAATTTCCGGGCAGGTGAGTTGAAGGAATTTGAAGCTGAAATATTAAGAACACTGGCCCCCCAGGACTGAGTTTGGGCACCCCTGCTGTAGGGCTATGTTTTGGGCTTAATGTGTGGAAACTATGAAGTTTTGTAGGTCTGGAAACCAACTGTATCCTTTTTTTTTTTTTTTTCAGGAAACTGAAGTGGAGTTATACAACGAGTTCCCCGAGCCAATTAAACTAGACCGGAACGATAGAGCCAAACCATCAGCAGAGACCTGTAGCTGCTGAGGACCTCCAGGGGGCGCAACATTTCACCCTCAGCCTCTCTGGCCTCGTCTCTGCCTCATTCCCTCCTCCTCACTCTCATTCTCTCTCTTGCGTTCTTTCTTTCACCCCAACCCCCCCTTCCCCCCTTCCCCCAGTTCTTCTTCATCGCCTTCCCACCCTCTACTTGATATAATCACTGGCCTTTGTAGACGAGCAGACTTCCTCTCATTCAGTATCCTACACAGTTCTTATTCACAGCCTTAGACACAACATACACACACATATGCTCAAGAGGCTCAATCTGGCACCAATTTCATACACAAAATCGCCACCTCCCCCACGTTAAAAAAAGTCCTACTCAAACTTTTCACAACACTTGAATGGCTCTTGAGACTTTTTATATGTATGTCACAATGAAATTGGCAAAGTGTGATGTGAACGCTGAAAGATGGAGGTGTATAAGAGCATTAAAGCCGAATGTTGGTACCAGAAATACCGCAACGATCAATTGCTTCTTCATTTTTGCTTGAAATCGAAAGCCAGCCTGGTGTAAAGCATGCTACATTTGCATCTCAATTTCTCGAACCTGAAAACGCTCCTGGGTTTGCGAGGTCCCGACGCACTGGAGGTCTAAACACTGCCCCCGCTGTTACATCTGAGAACTGCAGTCAGTTCATCCAGTGTCCTTAAAATGGAATCATCCTACTTAACCATGTGATGGGAAACTTAGATATTATATTACAATTCATACTATTATGACAATTAGTATTTCGATATTTGTTTTATCTTTAATCCTCATGTCGGCATGACGAATCACCGCGAGTCTGCCATGAGTAAGTAGTGGCGTAGGCCATTTCTTGATGTTTGTTTTTTTTGTTTCTTTCATATCTTGCCCGGACTCTATCAGTACCTCAGGACGGTAGAGGACTTAAGTGCTCAGTATCACTCGGATATTTTCCTGTCTGTTTGTTCATTATTATTGTAATTATTATTATTATTATTATTATCTGTGTCGCATTATATACAAATACACACAACTAGACAACATTGGGGAAAACTGAATTGTTCATGACATTTAATGAAACAAAATGCACAGCATATACATTGTTCAAGATAAATGTATTTCAAAGTAATAATGGAAATAAAATTAAATTGTTGAATAATTCCGTTGTGTGCTGTGTGTTTGTAAACGTGAAATAAACCAATAAAATTGATGAATGTGAATTTTATTTGCATCTTATATAAAATCGTGAAAACAGAACCATGTCAAAAGTGCTTACCTTGTTTACCAGATACATTTAACCATTGAGAAGAGATATAACATCTATTGTATTGCAAGAAACTTTAACTAAGTGTTTAAGTCCTTGGTTTCTTACTAGAACTCGTTCCCATCAGCCATTGCTGTAGAGGGCCAGTCGGCTTGTTCTGCTTCTCTGCTGCAGGCTTTTCTTCAGGTCCTTTATCTGAAGTATCTTCATCAGGACTCTTCCTCTTAGTTGGCGAAGCTGTTTTCAGCCAGCTCATCATCATTTTACTGCTGGCTGTGGGTTTAGTGCTCTGGACATGACAGAAGGCTGAAGTCAGTATTTGTACGAATTAATGAAATAAATTTGATTAAACTATTAGTATGACCATATTTTAACCGTCACCCACAGAAGAAAAAAATAGTAGATTTTAATAATAAAAAACAACAACGTGCAACTGAAAAGCCAGCCTTAAATTGATTTGTTTTCATAGGATTGGTATGTTTACGTTAGATTAACAACAAAGCAATAGCGTCAGCTGCAGCAGTGGTGGTATGAGTGGCGGTCTCCATAGTTAAACCAAGAATACATAGATATATACACTAGATGTCGCCTGGCCTATTGTTGTCTATTGGACTGAATGCGTCAATAGCGCCACCATCTTGCTACAGGGTAGCGCTCCTTTGAAATCAATGCGGGACCAAGGAACAGTGGAGAACTGTGGCCATGCAAAGCCAGGGATATACACATAAACACATATATCTGTGATCGGGAGTTTTCCTGGATGTAAGTATGTAATTTTTTTTTCTAATTACGAAAATTAGAATTTTACATAACTTTTCTACATTGATGGATCAGTGACCGCACGGGCATTCCTGACAAAAAGCTTGTGTTTGTGTGTACAGAAATGTACTATTCACCCTCCCTGTTAAATTTAATCTAATCATGTCCTGAAACACACCTCCTCTCCTGCTTTCACTTCTCATACTGACGGAGAGAGCGATTCGTTTGTGAATGAATCACCCGAACGATAAACGTTACCTGATTAGCACAAAAGTTCTGAACATACAAAAACAGAAAAAAACATAATATTACATATGAAATGTTCTGCCTTTGTGCTTTGTTTTCTTTGTTTGCTCGTTACTTCACCCGTAGACAGCGCTAAAGTACCTCATCTTCACGTAATAACACTGTCTTGACTAGTGCGGTTGAATGACATTTGTCCTGGGAGCACTGTACCAATGTGGCGGCGCTATTGACGCATGCTCAGGGTCCCTATGCGATATCTAGTGTATATATCTATGCCAAGAATAGACTTGTGCTAAAAACATTGTGTCCACCAGTCTCTTTAGTTGAGGTTAATATTAAATTAAACAAATTAATAAAAGACTATAAAACGATATGGTTGTTAGACTGTTACACTTTTTTTGTTATCAATATGCTCATGTTTATATAGGCATATTGTGTGTGCAACGTTTGTATATTTATAACCACCTCGGCTGAATTTGGGGGTCGCAAGTCACTGGCATTGTTATTTCAGGGGTCGCAGGCTGAAAAGTTTAGGAACCCCTGCTCTACAGTATGCTATTATTTCATTTTTACAGCTCTAGATTACGTTGAAGAGCATTATTTCATTTATATTTTAACTCATCAGACACTGTACTTTAACTTAATGTTATTAAATCACTTTTTAAAATTTAATTGGACAGACTTTCATCTTTGACCAATATATCTTTTAAAACTTTGAGGACAAATTAAAGTGATTTATAAAGTGCTGCTATTCTAAAATAGACAAGTGTTTCACCTTCTTGATCGTGGGGTCCACAGGCTGCAGACATTCTGGAGAGTTATTGCGCGAATTGTTGACCAATGAGGAGACGGGGTGAAAGGTCAGACAAGACTTCGGTTGGAGCAATTTTATAGCTTCCAGTGACTTCACTTCTCCGAAATCCAACCACCGTCTTACCTCATCCTCTCCATCCAGAACTGCCGGCATCCTGTTACAAAACGCATCAAGTCAAGACTCAAGGATAGTCCGCTGTTTCAACATAAGAAAAACTCCATGAGACATCATGTTTATGTGCTCCACCTGTCATGGATGCTCTGAAGGTTTGGAGAAGCGTCTACGGTAATGACTGTGTAAGTGTACAGAGTCTCTCCACCACAAGGAGGAGTCCAGGAGTCAAACAGCCCTGCTATTGTAAGCAGACGCCACCCAGTCCAGTCACTGGTGTCTAGATCACTCTGTGGACAAGAGAAGGAAAAAATTATTTAACAAAAGTGACAGTAATTACTTTCATAATGGTAATTCTCTTTCAAATAAAAGTGCTGTTTGATTCTCGACTCCTAATTACAGAGTCGGTGGAATCGACTCCATTTACTTTCACTTAAAATAGCGCAAGAATTAAACATGCTTTATCATATCGCACTTAATACAAGCGGTTCTCCTCTGGTCAGACAAAATCAGCAGTTTACATCATCTGCTGTCAAAATAAAATCGAAATAGAAAATAAAATTGTCCAGTTTAGATCATTTAGAAAATGACATTGCTATATTGGTGTTAGTAAAGTAAAAAAAAATTCATTTATTATCAAAATATTTAATGGAAAGATGTGTAGCAGTTCATTAACAAATAAAATACACCCCAATTGAGTCTTAATGTTTGAATAAAAATCATTAATATCTTTTTAATATAAATGTTTGATACTACAGTATTTAATTTCTGTATTTTTTTTAAGCAACAGACTCTCCAACCGATTAATAAACAATATAGCTTGATTTTCAATTTGATTTAATAACCGATTAAATATTAAACCCCCTGCATGAAATGTTTAACTTAAATAATTAATAACAAACAGCATGATAGACTGTGACTCAAAGCATATCACTTTGCTCTTGCTCTCAAAAATTAGATTTTTTAAAGTGCACTTTTAAATTACTTTACTTTGAAATATCACTATTTGTTTTGTGCAAATTGTTCAATGACATTAAATAAAAGGGTGTTAATGGGACAGCATTTGCCCGAAGAAAAGGAGTGAGTCAAACCTGTTTTTGAACAGCCTTGGCTATTTAAAAATCCTTTTTGAAACGTTTGTTATAAATCTTAATTTTAATGTATGTAATTTGTAGTCATCTACAAAATAAACAAAAAGAATAGCCTAAATATTAGAGGTAAAATTAAGTATGTCCAAAAAGTAAAACAAAAACAGGACAACATGTATTGTCAGATTTTGTCAAAGAATAATTCTTGGGTACTTTTCTCATTACGATTAGTATTTTTTAATTAATTAATTTCTTTATTTATTTGTGAAATAAGCATAGGTTATAAATTTTACTTGAGCATATAGCAGCAACCAATAGCATAACTTCGTAATTTTACCTGCAGTGCTTATGTAAGACATCAACCTGCTCCAAATTGACACAGATATGCTATATTTCATTTATAACACCGCAAATTTGACATCGAAGGCAAATCATTTATAAGACCAAATTTCTAAAAGATGTGTTTTATAAGACATGAGTAGGTAACTACTCAAGTCCTGGTCACGAAATTTAAAAGCATAAACCGTGTGAACACGCATTCAAAGCAGGCACCTTCAATGTTCATCGAGCTCAAGAATGAGCATTACAACTGTAGCATGTATCCGCTTCATTCAGAAGGCTTTAAAAAAACAGATTCAACTCTGGGAGTCGATTCCTAGGTCCATTGAGAGACAAGACTCCCCATCCCTTATTTTTTGTCATTTTTCTTATTGCGCTACAAGCTGGTCCCACATGAACATTACAACATTAAAACCATTGTATATTATCTATAAACAAACTGTAATCATTTTAGCCAAAAACCCAAGGAGCTATCATTACTGTAACTGTATTGAGCAGCATAAATGACTAATATTCGACAGTTTCTTATTTTATGCTGATATATGTTAAATGTATAAAATCATTAATGATCTTGCATCACCACCTCTCAAACAATGTGCGATTGTCAGCAAGGACAATATAAGACAGACTAGGTCATCGGTTAGAGGTGATTGTTCAGTTAGACTCTTGTTCAGTAAGAACTGTTTCTGGACAATCAGTTTTTACAGTCAGAGCAGCAGAAAGACGAAATAGAATACCAATGCATATAAGAGAGAGTACCACTTTTAATCATTTTTTAAACTATCCTTAAAGTTTGGCTTAAAAATCTCAAATGCCACCACTGATTTGATTTCTTTTTATTGATTATGATGCATTTTTTTTATTTTTTAATATTGTTAAACTTGTTACAACTCCCTGTCCAGGGACTACAGATGTAAATGAACTTTATAGCTAACTTTGGGACAACATGTCTTGTTGTACATTGTCCCTGTATAATAAATAAATGAATTTGGAATAACGACTGAAGAAAATTCACCTTTTACATAGGACTGCATGATTAATCGAAAAAAGACACACAATCTTAATTCAGCTTTTCTACATTTCAGCAAATTATATTTTTAAGGTCAGAGAGAAGCAAGGCAGTCACACAAGTCTTCACAACAACATTGACACCTTCAAATGGCGTTAAAAGTGGCACATAAGGAATAATTTACCCAAAAATGTCATTTCTGTCTTCATGTAATGATGCCTAAAGCGAGCGAGCCAGCCAAGGCCAGTCGCGTTTTCACTGTCACTTCCACGGCCTAATCGGGCCAAAGTGGGGCTTTCTCAGGGCCAGCTGCCGGCCTTTTTCGGCACGCTGAATACCTTGGGCCAAAGAAGGCCAACTGGGGCTTCGGGGCGGAGTGAAAGGAGAGGCGGGCACAGTTTTCTGATCGCACACATATATGCGCCGCCCAAACAAATAGACAAATGAGGGAAAGAAAACATCTAGCCATATAGGCTGGGGTCTTTTGCTTATGATCGCCCTTATGTTTCTCTTTTAATTAGGCTGTTGCATAAAATGATAAAGTTTTAATTTATAAGTGACATTCTTTTGCTGCATCCTCCTTGATGTTTTAATAACGCATAATAATCTTTACACCATATTAAAGACAAAGCAGACAATAAAGGTTGTCGAGAGATTTGTCAAGTTTAAAAGTTGTGTTTGTGTGCATTTTCCCCGTACGTGAATGTGAGACCGAAAAGAGTGCTCCCTTCAGCTCTGTTCCCTTCGGCTTTTTACTTTTTTTATTTATTTTGAAGATAATACACAATTTGAATACAACAGTACGACATTAAACTTTACAAAGTACGTGTCCACTTTTGCAGGCTTTTGCAGGTTTAAAATATTATTTATAAAGTATTTGGATACGATGATATTAATCAAATCATGCTAACAGAGCATTTTTGGGTGAGTGAAAGCAGAAACTATAGGCAACCTTTTTTTCTGTCATCCAGTCCTGCACGCGCAGCGCCAATTTAGAAACACATCGGGGAAAACTGCAAACACAAACTGTGTTCTGTGTCCTCAAACAACTGTTTGTTTTTATATGACGTGGTAAAATTTAAAAAGAAATTTTAAATACATGTAGGCCTAGAGTTTTAGTAGTGAAAAGCTGCTAAGCGCAACGAAGTATAGACTATATTTTATTACTTGCTCTTATGTGCTGAAATACTTAACACTTTCCTGTACTTAAAGATCACAGAATAATATGCAACAGCTTTAAATAAAGGGGAATCACCTAATATTAAGTGTCATATAGCCTAGGGAAAAATCTGTTTCAGGTCTCTCCTGAGCATGTGAGCTGGATGTTTGACAGCGTCTATCTAGACGAGGATGTTATAAAATACATTTTCTTATTATTAACGGAGAATTTCTGTGGTGTTATATTATGGATGGTGCGCTCACTGTGCTGGGTCCCTCTGTTTGTGGCGAGACCACTCGATACACAATGCCAACAGTCAGTCGGTGAGTATGAGAACACACAGGCCTGTGCATATAGACATATAATGTACTGCTGTACAGTAACATGTTGTTTGTTTGTTTCGGTTGTCTTCATTTTAATGATTATGTGATGATGCTATGGTGTTCTTCATCTGCCTGATTCCCGTTGAAGTGGGCGGGTTGTGTGACATTTGATTCGGGGGTCATTCTGGGGGTGGGGTTTGCGTGACGCGCTGCGAACTACTAGCCCGACAGTGGAAACGCGACATGATTTCGGCCTCACTGCTCAACCTCCCGGGCGATTGGCCCGGCCTGGCCCGATAATAGCCCTGGCTCACACTGGCCCGACAGTGAAAATACGGCTAGTTAAACCACTGATTATAAATGGAATGTTTTGGCAATGTTTTTGGTTACTTTTAAGTACTTTGAGCATCTCTAGGAGGATGCTGAGACAGCTGTCTGATTTCATCTAAAGCAAGTTCATTTGTTTATTTGTTCTGAAGATGAATGAAGGTCTCATGGGTTTAGAATGAAATGAAGATGAGTAACATTCTGTCATTTTTGGGTGAACCAACCCTTTAAATGAACTTCTTATGACTGTCAAACTTTGGTTTACCTCTCCTTGGTCCAATTCTAGGTCACTTTTTAGTTCCTGTGTACTTTGTGGACTGGGTACTTGTCCTCCTTGGCTTTGTGGAAAGTAAATGAAGAAAGGTTGTTTGTCCTTCTCCTGCCGCCTCCATTCGTAGAAGCCGTCAGCCAGAATAACGCAGCGCTGACCTTTCAGAAGAGGATCCTGTGAAATACAGCACAAGTTTATTCTTATCTTTAGAGGTATTATACTTGATAAATAATAGAGTCTAACTATGCCCATAGACGGCATGGTGGCTCAGTGATTAGCGCTGTCGCCTTACAGCAAGAAGGTTGCTGGTTCGATTCCTGGCTGAACCAGATGGCATTTCTGTGTGGAGTTTGCATGTTTCCTCTGAGTGCTCCAGTTTCCCCCCACAGTCCAAAGATGTGCTTTAGGTCTATGGAATAAACTAAATTGTGTATCCGTAGTGTATAAAATTGTGTGTGTGAATGAGTGTGTATGAGTGTTTCCCAGTACTGAGTTGCAGCTGCAAGGGCATCTGCTGGGTAAAACATTTGCTGGGATAGTTGGTGGTTCATTCCGCTGTGGCGACCTCTAAAATAAAAACTAAGCCAAAGGAAAATGAATGAATAAACTATGCAAATCTATTTTTCAAAGTTGTTCCTGAAGTGTTTTATTTTTCCTACAGCAATAATTGGGAAAAAAGTGTTTGTTAAAAAGAGTCATACTTTTCATCTAAACAACTAGTGGTCAATGACATTACAAATTTTTATTTAAAGCAAATAAATGTATTTGACAGTCCCCCCCACCCCTCAAAAAACATACAACACTACTACTACTGCTTAGAAAGGATAGTTCACTCAAAAATGAAAATGACCTCATTATTCATTCTCCCTCTGGTTTTAAAGAGTTTCTTTCTTCTGCTGAACACAAAAGAACATATTTTGAAGAATGGTGGCTGCACCTATTGACATTATTAGCAGAAATAAAAAAAATATGGAATTACTATACGCCACCTATCAGTATTTGTAAAAAAAAATAAAAAATCTTCCTTTGTGTTCAACAAAAGAACAAAAAAAATAGTTTTTGAGTAAATATAGTAGAATAGTTTGAGTAAATGATGACAGAATTGTCATTTTTGTCATCTATTTAACAACTTTAATTATATATCACAATCCTGTAAATGACTTAAGTGAATTAGGATGGAATTTAAACTATTGGCCTGTGCTATGTGTTTACAACAAACGTTTTCCTCTGGACGGAGTCTAGAGCAGTTACCACAAGAACAGCAGATTTTAGATTACAACAGTCCAAATTTTCAGTGCAGTGCAGTATTTGTGGCAGGTACAATGGTGTACAGTTGGGAATAATAACTATCATTTCTTCAATATTCAGAGACAGGGGCATCTTCACTTTCTCCTGCATTCACAAGCATGTTTGTGTTGAAAGGTTAAAACTGATAAGGCAGTGGACCTGCACTGTCATCAACCAGATAATGTGACTAAGGGGAATCTGGTGGAGAGAAATCCTCTACCTCCACACAGCTCTCAGATCTACTGTAAACGCTGCTCTCCGGATCACTGTCTATCTCCGCTGCGTCTGTGTTTGGGTTGCCGGTGTGCAAATTAGCTTTTTTAGCTTTATTCACATAATGAAACCTCCTTCTTTCATGCAAATTTCACCACTCGACAGCTGGACTCACCCACTTTGCCGGCTTTTTTTCAAACTAGAGGTGTAAAAACACCCTGCTAAGATAGGGTGGGTTTCAAGGCCGCGTTTACACTAGTGCGTTTTAGTTTTAAAACGGCGTTTTAGAATGAAAACGATCCGCGTCCACACTTCCATTTTATCCAGCATTGTTCAACAGTAATTAATATATATATATCAGTTGTGTGTGTATATAAGTAGAAATAATGAACATTGACAGCTGTCACAAACACACATACAATTTATTAACAAGCTTGTATCACTGTAGGTCTATTTTAAAGGGTTTATATCTAAGCTTACACTCACCGGCCACTTTATTAGGTACACCTGCCCAATGTAGACATGGTCAAGACAATCTGCTGCAGTTCAAACTGAGCATCAGAATAGGGAAGAAAGGGGATTTTTAGGTGACTTTGAATGTGGCATGGTTGTTGGTGCCAGACGGGCTGGCCTGAGTATTTCAGAAAATGCTAATTTACTGGGATTTTCACACACAACCATCTCTAAGGTTTACAGAGAATGATCCGAAAAAGAGAAAATATCCAGTGAGTGGCAGTTCTGTGGGAGCAAATGCCTTGTTCATGCCAGAGATTAGAGGTGAATGGACAGAGTTGTTCCAGCTGATAGAAAGGCAACAGTAACTTAAATAACCACTCGTTACAACCGAGGTATGCAGAAAAGCATCTCTAAATGCACAGCACATTCAACCTTGAGGCAGATGGGCTGCAGCAGCAGAAGACCACACCAGGTGCCACCCCTGTCAGCTAAGAACAGGAAACTGAGGCTACAATTCACACAGGCTCACCAAAATTGGACAATAGAAGATTGGAAAAATGTTGCCTGGTCTGACAAGTCTCAATTTCTGCTGCGACATTCGGATGGTAGGGTCCGAATTGTGCCGTGAACAACATTCATCCTGCCTTGTATCAACGATTCAGGCTGCTGGTGGTTGTGTAATGGAGTGGGGGATATTTTTGTGGCTTGCTTTGGGCCCATTAGTACCAATTATGAGCATCGTGTCAACGCCACAGCCTGCCTGTTGTGTGAACAGCTTGTAACTTGGAAAAAAAATAGTTTGCTTTGAATTATTTATGGGCGACGCGATGGCGCAGTAGGTAGTGCTGTCGCCTCACAGCAAGAAGGTTACTGGTTCGAGCCTCGACTAGGTCAATTGGCATTTCTGTATGGAGTTTGTATGTTCTCCCCGTGTTCGCGTGAGTTTCCTCTAGGTGCTCCGGTTTCCCCCACAAGTTTAAAGACATGTGGTATAGATGAATTGGCTGTAGTGTGTGTGAATCAGAGCGCATGGATGTTTCCCAGTGATCAATAGCAGCTGAAAGGGCATCCGCTGCGTAGAACATATGCTGGATAAGTTGGTGGTTCATTTCGCTGTGGTGACCCCAGATTAATAAAGGGACTAAGCCGAAAAGAAAATGAATGAATGAATTATTTATGGATGTTTTTGCCAGGAAAATTAAGTCTATTTTCCTTCCTATGACGATTAAAAAAATTAATGTTTACAATAAAACAATGCTGTTCTGTACTGTAATGTCAATGTTCAATGTAAAGAAAGGGATACATTTTAGACCAATGAGATTTTACTGTGGGTGGGGTTAAACATTTTATAGCTTATGTATAATGATTGAGGATCAACTCTTAGGCCCCGTTTACACTGGTGCGTTTTAGGGTGCTTTCACACCTACACTTTTGTTTCGGACGTATCTCGTTTGCCCAGTTAGCGCGGTTCGTTTGGCATATGTGAACAGGGCAATCGCGCTCTGTTCGGCACCAAAGTAATCGCTCTGAGATCGCTTGAATGAGGTGGTCTCGGCTCGATTGAAACGAACCCTGGAGCGGTTCGATTGCAGTGAGAAAGCGATTCGATCCGAGCGCGGTTATATCACAGTGTTTTATGGATATGTAATAGGCTTACGGCTATATGAAGAGAGAATTATGAGTAGGGCGGGAAGTTTCGCGAGTCTCCGGATGCCCACAAATGAGTGATGATCTCCCGGTAATCGCGCGTCTCCCTCCCGGTCCTCAAATAGGCATTGTCGCGCACCGTTCTCACCCCTCCCCACCGCGTCTCTCCTCAGACACGTCGCGCGCGCTTGCACCCTGTCAATCACCACCAAACCACCACCTCTCCTGACAGTTTAGCGGGACGCTGCAAAATAAACCCTGACACCAATGTAAGGAGAGTTTACTCGCACGTGACTTGTTTTAGCTCTATTGGTCCGATTAGAAACTTTGCAGTGTGAAAGCGAACCACTCCAAGAGCAAAGAGTAACAATGTAACATTTGTAATCTCTGTTTTGGAACAACTGAATCGATTCACAGGTGTGAAAAGCAACGGCGTTTTAGAATGAAAACGAAAAGTTAATAATTAATGTAACCACGTACACTCTGTATATTGACTGATTGTTTGCCTGCATTTCCTATAAAGTATAAACTTATTGTATTTTATACTTTTATAATGGCCATTATTGATTATTAAAACTGATATTTAGCAAAAGAGAGGATATGTTTCGTATTTTCAATGAGAATGTAAGAAGGCAGTAATGTTATAAGCTACGTTTTGTTATAAATATGCATACAGTGAAGATGACAATCATATAAATATGCAGCGCGACACCTCAACATTTCTCTTTGCAATGTCTCTGTTTTCCCCCATCCACACTGATACGGAGCAGCAGCCTTTTAGAATGAAAATGTTTAAAACTAAAATGTATTTGTGTAAACGGGGCCTTACATACCTTGTAAGACTTCTTTTCAAGAAGGCTTTCACTGCGACAGTTAGAGGTGTTATACTGCATCTTATTGGGGTCGTTCTCTTTGAACCAGGCTGGGACGAGACCCCAGCGCATCGCTGCCAGCACACACTCATCTACAGGAGCATCCTGCAGAAAGAGGCAGATTAAAAAGCTGTTCTTGAGAGAGAATGAATACTGTGCATATGAGCCATTCAACTACAGGCACTTTTAGTCTTGTGAAGTTGAGTAATAAAAAAACTTGTTCAAAATTAACGTAACATTGCCTCATAAGTTTAAACAATTCGTCTAGTTTTAAATTCCACCACATCTCAATACACAGCTTTATGGCAGTCAAACATTGTCTAAGATCATTTTCGTATCTAGTTTAACCAATCTTTCCACAATATATATAATAATTATACATTTGTCAGTGAAATAAATGCGTATGCTGAATTGTACACCTGTCACACTCTAAAATTTTATATTAACTTGGTTAAGAGCTTATTAGGAAATAAATAAACTGATTTTTTATATTAAATAGAGCATGAAGAAACCATAGTTATAGAAACCACCTAAATAATCTTTCACAGAAACTTTTTAAAGCAACATTACAGTGTTGTGGTGGAAATGAGACTGATACTGTGCAACAGCTATATTTTATATAAAAAATGATATTAATAATAATCTCACATTAATAACTATAAATTATTACCAGTGCTTCATTAAGATACATTAATAGTTATCAGATAAATAATATTTTAATATGTTAATATGTTATTTTCATTGTTGAAGTTTAGTACTCTGGGTGTGCGGCAATGTGAAAACTTAAAGTAGGTTGAATAATACGAAAAATATACAATAGAAAGGTAGTAAAATTATTAAGTAGGTTTTATTGTTAGTTTGACAAAAAAAAAAGAAATTTGATCAAAATGATATATATTTTTGGAAATATGATCAAAGGACATAAAAGTGCCCGTAGTTGAAGAATTACCCATATGTGTTACAGCAATGGCATGCCTTGTTGAAGTGTCTGTTGGACAGAAGTACAGGACTGAAGGACTGAGGACTCTTGTTGTATGAGGGACAGTATTTTTCAGAGTCTCCATCCTTCCAGCGGGGTGGGCGTCGTTGTCCTGTTCGGTCTCGATAATGAGATGCACGACTAAGCTCATGTGGTGCAAGTGTGCAAGCCGTTCTTCCACACATCCTGGTGTGACAAACCTGTGTGACCAAACACAAGGTTTAAACTAGTTAAACAACAACTAAAAAAAATAAACAGTTTATTTAAATAGTAAATAAATAATTGAAATGCAAATGTAAAAAAAAAAAAAAAAAAAGTGTTGGCATGATGATGTTTAAATTGTTTACTTTTTAAATATGGACATTCTACAAATTTAAACTTAATTTTGTTTGTTAAGATAAAAAGGACACTATAATCAATTCATAATTTAAATATAAAATATAAATATTTAAATATAAAATATTAAATATAGTTTGCATGTTCTCCCTGCGTTTGCGTGGGTTTCCTCCTGGTGCTCCGGTTTCCTCCACAGTCCAAAGACATGCGGTACAGGTGAATTGGGTAGGCTAAAATTGTCCGAAGTGTATGAGTGTGTGTATGAGTGTGTGTGTGAATGGGTGTGTGGATGTTTCCCAGAGATGGGTTGCGGCTGGAAGGGCATCCGTTGTGTAAAAACTTGCTGGATAAGTTGGTGGTTTATTCCGCTGTGGCGACCCCGGATTAATAAAGGGACTAAGCCGACAAGAAAATGAATGGTTTATCTATGTATTTTGTAAATGATTGTTGTTTTTAAAGGAAAATAAAATCCGTTATTTAAACAAACATTTGATTAATCTTTAAGCAATAATCATTTTTAATTAATAATATACATAATAATATCATAACATAATGTTAAATTAGTAAAATGTTAAAAGAGGTAAATAATAAAATAAAAATCCTCAAACAATTAAATGTTTTTTATTAAAAAAACAAACAAAAAAACTTATTAAAACAAATTAAAATACCTTCAAAAACATTAAAATAATGAATAAAATAAATATTTTTTTATATAAAAATATTTCAAAATTAAACGAAAACTAACTACTGCAGATTAGAATAAACAAAACTAGTAAAAATAAACAAATATACAAATCAGATTATAATGTATAAAGAAAATAATCAAATCAATAAATGCTGTACTTTTGCTTGTGCTGTATATTTTAAAATTAAGTTAACATTTCAGGCCCATTTCTAGCATTTTTTTCAACAATGTAAATTTATTCTTCATACACATTTTAGATGCCTTTTGCATTTTACAATGGAGGTATATTTGGGGATTCGTATCATCTAGAATTTTATTTTAAAATATTTCTTTACTTATCTATTTATTTTTTGGTACAACATTTTAACAGTACAAAAATATACATGCTAGGAGATAAGTATAAATCCAATACAAATATACAGAATGTACATATGTAATAATCAAATAAATACATTGTAGAATTCACAAAGTGTGTAGAGCTTTCTTATTTAAAGAGTCTCTAATACTACTATTATACAAGCATAATTCAGTGATCAATACCTTAAAATTTGGTTTCTTATTGGCAAATTTACATTTATGAATGTGAAATTTAGTTAATTTAATAAGTTAATTAACTAAATAAAAACTATTTTCCTTTTGACTACGGTACATAGTAAAACCAAAAAGTACATTTCCTACAACAATAAAAGGGGTTTAGAACACTGAAAATTGTTATTAATAAATGTTTGCAAAAAATCGTTCCTTTTTTTTTTTTTTTTTGCAAAAAAACAGTTGACAAGTTTGTAGCAATATTTGTTTACAATGCAGAATATGAATTACATTGTCAATGAAAAAGAGATACGAGAGAGAAAGACAGAAAAAAAAAGAATAAAGAACATGATATAAACTTGAGGGTAAGACATTTAAGAATCAAGAACAGTACATAAATTAAAGTCATTACAAAATGAAATAGTTCTGTTTGCTTTCTTATTTTTAGATAATGAAATTAATTGTATATAATGACTAAATTCTTGCAAAAACACAGGAAAATATGGTTTAGTATTAGTAAATTTGTGGATATGGAATTTACAAAGAAAATAAATTAAATTTATAACAAAACAAGCATTTCTCTTAGTAGGGGCAGATTCATAATAACCAAAAATAATTTCTTTAAAAGTAACAGAAAACATCTTGTTGTATATTATCATTAATAAATAATCCAATATGTTTCCAAAATTGTACAGCATAATTACACTCCCAAAATAAATGAAAAACAGTTTCAGTATGAAATTGACAAAATGAACATTTTACATCAATATTAGAATTAAACTTTTTCAAAAATTGTTTTATAGGATAAAATTTGTTGATCAATTTAAAAGACACCTCTTTGACTTTGTTGGTGAGAAAATATTTTTGTTGCAAAGACCATATTTTTTCCCATATCAAATCTCTATAGATATTATTCCAATAAGAGATTACAGGGGACAATGTAGCAACTTTTTCAATAAAAAGAGATCTAATTTTGTAATTTCTATCTTTTTTGTTTGAAAAACAAATTTTACCCACAAATATTTTTGTCGGATCAGAAAGGGACACTTTTTTAGGAGTGAGATGAATGCTACTTTTAAAGAGCATAGTAATTCCTGATGTTATAGCTCCCATAACAATGGCGAAATTTTTTGGACTTACTGGTATGTTATACGCGGAAATAAATTCAAAGTAATTCATTAAAAAACCTCTGTTGTTAAATAACTGACTAACTAAAAGCAAACCATTGTTAAACCAATCACTGAAAAACAAAGATTTATTTTATATAAAATATTTTGGTTATTCCAAATAGAAAATGTGTGTGGAGTAAAATTATGTTTATAAATTAAAGTCCAGGCCAGAAGTACTTGTTGATGGAAATTTGAAAGTTTCACAGGAATTTTGGTTATATTATAATTACACATCAATAAGAACTTAATGCCTCCAACAACAGAAAATACCTGTTTTGGGAAAATATTCCAAATTGAGTCTTCTTTATGTAGATACTGGTTAAGCCAATTAATTTTGAAAGTATAATTTGAAGAGCAGAAATCAATACAGTTAAGACCTCCTTTATTATACGAATTTATTATAACAGTCTTTTTCATATAGTGGCATTTATTTTTCCAGACAAAGTCTGTTAAAGTTTTATCAATTAGTTTGCATGTAGGCTTATCTACGTACAGAGATTGAGCTGCATAAGAAAGACGAGACAGGCCCTCTGCTTTGGTGAGCAAAATTCTTCCTTTAATAGACAGATCTCTTTGAAGCCAACTATTCAATTTTCTTTTAGTTTTTGCAACAACTGGATTAAAGTTAGCATCACATCTATCTTTATCGTTAGTTATATTTATGCCAAGGTAAGATACTGAGTTTTTAACAGCTACTCCACAAATTGAGGAAACACCACAATTTTTAATGGGAAGTAATTCACATTTATTTAAATTAAGATTTAAACCAGATGCATTGGAAAATGTTTGTAGAGTATTTAATGCAGCGTAATCAAACCTTGGCATAAAGTGGGTGGGAGAAAAGAGTTATCTGTACTTTCCTTATAAACACTTAACGAAATCTAAAAAAATAAGAATTCTTTGCAAAAAATCGTTCCTTTATGAGATCTGTTCAGTATTTTTACGTCATTACGTAAAACGTCATGGCGTGGTTTCGCGCCATGGCGCCAGAAAACCAGAGTATGATGTGGTCTCAGCAATGAAAGTTTATTCCTTTTCTTCATATTCTAGTTATTATTATTAGCTCATCCAACGATTCTTGCCTCATAACAGCCACTTCATTAAGAAGATCCGACATAAAAGAACCGTTATTTCACGAAGCAGTAGATGCAACTTAAGTTCTGCACGTTAAAACTCCAGCAACATATTTTTTCCTTCACTCTAAAACGTGTTTAAGTGCATGTGAATGAGTTTACTTAAAAATCGACACCTCAAAAGTCGCTTCTACTGAACTGCTAACGTTAACATGCAAAGGTTTGTGCACAGCGGTCAGGTTTGGCACCTTCAGCAACTGGCAAACACATACAGATGCACTGACTAATCACACACTATAAATTTAAGACTGTAATATAAATTAAATTCTCACCAGTCACGAACTACTCCTAATTTTGAGGTTAAATTCGAATGATCATCAGAGAGCAACGATTGTGGTGTTCACTGCAAGAATGTCAACACAAAATGGCGCCCTCTGTACGCACAACCTGATATAACTCTACAAACCACTGCTTTGCATACAATGTGACATGAACCTTAGCAATTTATCAAAGCTTCGTTTTATTTTCAAAAACACAAACATGCAACAGCAATAAAATGGTTGAAAAGTTTACAAAATGTCAAAATGATATGACTGAATTTAACAAAGCCTGGAATAAACGGGTAAATATGCATTACTTTACAAACTCTTACATTTATAAAAAGCATTATTTCTTTCTTAAACATATAAAAAACTCGAAATAACACGTTATCTTCTTGGTCTATGCCAGGTTGTAACAAAAATGTCAAAAATATGTTGTGGTGTTGCCACTCATGTTGTCACCCAAAAATAATCCTGTCACGATTTCATCATCCTCACGTCATTCCAAACCTACAATATGTATTTCCCTCTTCTGTGTAACACAACATATATACTATTTTATTCTAAAATACCTCAGTGTTTATGACATTCTTATTCTGGTTACCATTTTTCCTCATTTATTTTTTGTTCCACAAACAAAAAGTAAATTGTGCCAGTTTAAAACAGTATGAAGGTGAACAAATTGTATTGTATGAAATCAGCTGCATGTGGGAACTGTACAGAAAGGCAAAAACATAATGAAATAAAGGAAAAGAAAAACAAGTAAACTCAAGTTGCCATACTTCTGGCATCAGTAATGTCAAGTGTCACTTGAAACTTGTAGTGTCAAACACCTTTATTCAGCTAGTCATGTCAGGTATTATATTAGATAGTGAGTAGTCAAAACATAAGAACAATATATTAACTGTTCATTTACATGTTCTTCAAGTTGTCTGAAGTTTTATGTATGATGTGTCCAACAAACACAGGAGAGAAAATGCATAATGAATCATATTATAGCTGCCACTCGTATTCATCCGTCCAAAAGTTTGAGGATACTTTCTCTCTCCTTCAGAGCTTTCCACGCCTGATCTTTCTCTTTTTTTGTTGGAGTGCGTTTCTTTTGTCTGGCTGCCATGATGCGACGGAAGGCCTCCATAACCTCATTATCCGCCACTCGCACCCGCTGACGAAGCTCCTGCTTGCGCATCTCTTCCCGGGCCAACCTGCATGAACAAGTCAACAGTGAAAGAGTTACTAGAGAGACCACAATCTCATACAAGTGTGGGCTGTGCAGCACTCTACTGACATTGTTCAAATTATATTAAGGATGTAAATGCAGCAGCTCATGTCCATATTGACTAAATAAAAAAAGATTACAGAGTACGCCTTAGAATGAAAGACTTGGCATTTTTACAAAAGAATTATTATTTTTACTAATTCTTTCTACTACTACAAAGAAACCTTGGGTTAAGTCATTCATGTGTAAATAAATGTATAAAGTAATTAAAAATAAGTAAAATTCAGTTTTTTTCTAATGTTAAAAAAATAAAACAAATCTTTTTAAATGAATGAAATGAACGAATAGACCACATTTCATATTTTATTATAACAGTGTATATATTTAACGGCTTTATATATTATAAGGGGCTATAGTACTGACTGCAAAATAATCGAAATGTGTTGTCTTAATGCTTTTTGCTTTTTTAAAAGGTTTTCCATCAAGTTTATTTAAAAAAAAAAAAGAATGAAAATTTGCATTGCAAGTTTCAGAGTGAAGCTTTTTTTCATTTACTCAATTCTAACAATCTAAGATGTGTAAATGCATCTTTACTCTGAACCCAGCAGCAGCCCTACATGTATTTATTTAGTAAAATCACAGTTTGTAAGATTTTGCATGCTAAATAAGTATATAAATGCGACAGCACATGTTTATAATACTTATTTTACTAATTCCTTCTTCTACTACTATTAAAATCACAGTTTGTAAGATTTGGGCTCTTTTTTTAATTAACTGAAGAGGAACAGAGTTGAAAGGGGTTTTATTTTTGTGCTCCTCTCGTCTTTCACTGGTAGTAAACTAACAGTTAGAGGGGTGTGGCTAAGCATATTTCGCTCAAGGCGTCAAATCGACATTACAGAAGGACTGTCATTTCAAAGTGGAAGCAAATGATTTGGTTAAAGATTACAAAACAAACAGTACAGTGGGTATAGAAAAGAATCACCCCCCTTCAAAATAATTACATTTTGTTGCATTGTAGCCTGAAATGAAGACAGACAGAGTTTTTGTTTAATCTACCTGTGTTTACTTAGTGCAACTTATAACACCCAACCAAAAGATATAACACCAACATGTCTGAAAAAAAATCAACATATAAAAAACTAAATCAATGGGTTGGAAAAAGAATCACCCCTTGATTCAGTATTTGGTTGAATAACCTTGTGCTTTAATTACAGCCTTTAATCTGTTGGAATACGTTTCTGCTAACTTTGACTTTGAAATATTAGCCCACTCCTCTTTGCAGAACTGTTCAAGTTCAGTTAAAATGTGATGGTGTCTGTTGTGGACTGCAGTCTTCAAGTCCTTCCAAAGATTTTCAATGGGGTTTAAGTTTGGACTCTGACTTGGCCATGCCAGGACATTCACCTTTTTCTCCTTTAACCACTGTGTGTGTGGTCAGTTTTTCTGTGTGCTTTGGGTTGTTGTCATGTTGGAAGGTAAACCTTCTTCCAAATGATAACTTTCTGGCAGAGGGCAGCAGATTTTCCTCAAGAATTTGTCGGTATTTTGCCCCATCCATTTTTCCTTCTATCCTGACAAGTGCTCCAGTTCCTGCTGCAGAGAAACAGCCCCAAAACAAGATATTTCCACCTCCATGTTTTACGATAGGGACGGTGTTATTTAGATGATGAGCTGTATTGGAGTTCCGCCAGACATATCGTTTGGTGTTGAGGCCAAATAGTTCAAATTAAGTGTCATCTGACCATATTTTTTTTCCCACATGGCCACAGAATCTTCTAGTTGCGTTTTGGCAAAGCTCAGTCGTGTCTGTATGTTGCTTTTCTTGAGAAGAGGCTTTTTTCGTGCAACCCTTCCATACAAGCCACATTTGTGGAGAATTGTTTATATTGTTGTCACATGCACACAATGACCACTCTTTGACATAAATTCCTGCAACTGTTCAGAGTTGTTGTAGGCCTCTTGGTTGCCTTTCTAACCATTTTCCTCCTGGCTCTTTCATTCAATTTGGAGCGACATCCTGATCCAGGAAGGGTCTGTGTTGTACCAAATACCAGCCACTTTTAAAAAAAAAATGGACTTCACTGTGCTTCTAGGCATTGATAAAGCATTTGAATTTTTTTTGTATCCATCCCCTGACTTAAGCCTGGCCACAACTTTATCCCAGGAATCTTTTGACAATGTCTTGCCACCCATAATTGATGGTTTGCTTCAGTTGCACTACCTAGGGTTAAAATGCTACAATAAAGCTATTTTCATGCTGAGCTAATCAAATTGACCACCAATGAAAGTGAAATGGCATTGTGTGTCGTTAAGAAGGTGATTAGCTACACCTGATTGAGTTTACCAGAAATTTTTAGGAGGAGGTGATCCTTTTCACAACTGAGTGATTTTGTTTTTATGCTTGTTAATTGTTTTCTGACATGTTGGTGTTATATCTTTTACATAGATGTTACACATTGCACTGAATAATTTCACCTAGATAAAAAAAAACTGTGTCTGTCTTAATTTCAGGCTACAATGCAACAAAATCTAATTATTTAGAAGGGGGATTATTCTTTTTATACCCACTGTAGCTATGTTTCTAACCACCTATTTTTAGGCTCAAAATATTTTAAAATGAGCATAAGACATGCGAATAACTGAGTAGGACATTTTATTCAGGAAAAAATTAGCATAAACTGCGATGGAAACGCTACCAAATAAATTCTATTGTGCGCATTAAAAGTCATGCGATTTTGTTATAAGAGATTATGTGATGATGAAAACGTGTGTAAATGAACAAACCAGCTGGCTGAGCACACTGTAAAACAAAAACAAATTCAATTTTTACTGTTGATATTTGGCGAAACTTAATCAGGATGTGACAATTTTGTTGTCTTTGACTCGTTGGATGGAAACGCTGCTTTATTCGCATGTCTTTTATGTGATATTCCAGTTTTCTGCATGCATTTAATTTGCATCTTCGCATGGAAATACGGCTACTTTATTTCTCAGTGCAATTAATTTGCATTTCATGCAGATTTTAAAGTTTACTTAAACCATGAGCCGGATTACCAGATATCTCATGCCAATAACAGTCTTGATGTTGATCTGATGTGTTTCAGCAAGACTCACTTGAGCAGCTCCAGTTTGCGTGAGCGGTTGTGTGCGGTCAGTGCTTTAAGTTCAGCTTGTCTTTTCTGCAGTTCGGCCAGCACCTCATCTTCAGACTCTCCTCCGACCCCTTGCCTCTCATCAGAGTCCAGCAGCCCCTGAGACACCAGCTCTTCTCTTATACGAGCCTCCAGAGAGCGTGTGTGAGGTACACTGAACACACAAAATGCTCAATTCAGCAGAATTCGAAGACGGAGAAATAAAAGATTACTAATTGATCTAAACTAATGAGACTTTCTATATTGCAAAGTCAGCTAAATATTTGCTATGTTATATATGTTTACTTTGTGTAGCCGTTGACTAGTAGCCACCATTAGTGCTACTAAATACTAAGATGTTAAAGTAAAAATAAAAATGACACCTGATTTTATTTATTACTTCTTTAATAACTATATTTACTATTTAAATCAATTAATTGGAAGCTTACCTGAACAACTAATTGACTGATCAGTCTTAATTGGCTCTATATAGCCATAAATATATATATTTATGATGTATCCTATATTCTACTGCATTTGTGTTTGCATGAGATGTGTTCTTCTTTTCAAAAAATTGTTAAAAATATAATGAAATTTTTAGAGAGACGGTTTCTGGAGGTGTTGAAAGCTTGTGGCAAGACACTCAGCGCAAGACATAACAACCAAAAATATCCTGTAGCACTGATGCTATTCAAGGATCACATTTTACCATAACAATAGTTTAGTATTAAGTAAAGATTGTGTAATATTAAGAAGATAATAAAAATCGTACTGTATTTTCCATTAATTAATGCAGCCTTACAGTAACAGCAGTAACTTTTTCAAATAAACAAAATAGACAAGCTAATATAAATCTTATGAAAGTCAACTTTATGTTGACTAAATTCTAAAACAAAAATTATGAAAATCAAGTGACAAGACTTGTTTTTACCTGAAGGCTTTCCCCTGGCTACGAGGTGACGTACCAGCTCCATCATCCTTCCCTGGAATGTCTGGAATGGGGGAATCCTCCATAGGAGATATGATGTTCTCCTACATCACAAAAGAATATGACTGAAACACTGATATAAACCAAGCAGTCAAAAAGCTGAAAGTATTGCACTATATAATTTGCAAATGAGGAGTCGCAGACCTCAACAAGAGCTTGTAGAAGTCGCTGAGTGAGCGGACCGAAGGGGCATCCGTCCTCTGGAGACTCATGCTGAGACTCAGATTTCTTCAGGAGGGCATCTACATCTAGACACGGCAGTATAATACAAGAAAAAGAAACAGATTTAAACAGGGTTACTCTATGGGTCATGTAATACCATTGAAATTTAAAAGTTTATTCCTGACAATAAAATTCAAGGAATTTTTTTTTTTTTTTTTTTTTGTCCAGGTTATGGAATATCATAGAGTTTTGTGTTTGTCATTTAAATTGGAATTTCTGTTTATAAAAATAAAAAATATAAATGGTTTCACATGCTTTGCCTATTGTTATGGTTAGTCTTTTTCTGTGCCATTTTATTCCTTTCCCACTCATCAACCAGCAATCAAATGTATTAAACCATTATGATTTTGAACATCAAGCAGCAAAAAAGTTGTTTTGTTTTGCTACAAATGTATGGAAGTGAGTGAACATCAAGAAAAGAAACCAAATCAAGTAGAGGGTGAGTAAATAAAAACGTATAATTTTTGTATTACATATCCCTTTAAAGACAACAATTCTTTTACGGGAATCAGTTATCTTCCATACCTTTAGCATCAAGTTCAGAAAGTGGACCCATCATGCTTTTCTTCTTATCGTTGGCTCGTGCCCCTTCTCTTTGCTCTTCTAACAGGTCTTCTTGAGCCCAGCGTTGAGAATAATGTTTTCCAAGAGTTGGGATCTGCAAAGATAACAAGGTTGTGTTTAATATTAAACAACCAATGCAAAATCTAATTAACTGCCAATTCTGTGAATATCCAAAGCTATTGATGTCAAGGAAGGCTTAAAGATGTTTACCTTGTAGTACTCGGCTTCATCATCAGGGGCTTTGAGCAGCTCTTCTAGAACGCGGATCTCTTCATTTGTGATGTCAGCACAGTAAGGCTCCACCGAGGCCCAGAACCTGTTTAATACATATATAACCATACAATAACCATTCAAACAGAGTATTGTATTTTGGCTTATTATTTCTATCTCTTAGTTATGATGACATTACATAATTTTGTATATATATAAATGCTAGTATCTTGCAAAAAATTATGTAATGGCATCATAACAAATACAAAAATCAAGTTTGGAAAACTATTATGTTCAACAAATGTGTTAAAAGATTTTTTCTTCCATTAACAGCAAATATTTGGAAAAGAGTATTTTGAAAAAGATAATTTTATATACAGTAATTGCTATAAAAAGGTAGGATTGAACAATGTGGTGAAATATGTTTTTAATTTTCCAAATATATATATAAAGTATGTATCACAGACTAAGCAAATAATTTCAACAGACCTGTTGGGAGCATCATTTTTGGGATTACGGGGTATATCTTGGGGGTCCACTTCAAATTCAAAGTCCTGCACTTTGGTCTGAATGTTTTTAGACTTTGGTCTGCCAGGTCCAGGTCCCGGACCATGACTTCCTTTTACATCAAGCTTCTGTTTCTTGGGCTTGGAATGTCGAGAAGAGGCTGCAAGATCCGGATCTTTCTCTAATTTCAAAAACCTTTTGTCCCCTTTCTTGTCCTGCCAATCTGTAAGAATCTGTTCCAGAGAGAGAAAAAATAACATTAGACAAACACAACAGGTCAAAAGTTAGGGATCATTAACTGAGGGGGGTATTTTCTGCTCACAACACTGTAAAGAAAAAAAAGTTGACTCAACATTTTAGGGCAACCATTTTAAAGTGCAGTATATGGTTTGAAAGTTGAGTGAACTTAAAAAGTCCCGAAGTTTGTTGCCTCCAAATTTTTTAGTTTAGTAAACTTTTTTTTACAGTACAGGGCGATATTAATTTAACATAAATACAATACAAAAGTAAAAATGTAAAATATAGTTTCCTTTATTACAGAAATGTATATTCTCATATAGTTTATATTGTAAAATATTCTTGTAATGCAAAATGATTTTTAGCATCACTGTTTTAGTCTTCATTGTGTCAAATGATCCTAAAAAAGAAACTATTTTAATTTTCTGATTTGCTGCTCTATTATGAGCAGTCATTATTGGTGATCAGTGATTTATGATTGACAACTGGATAATCGATGTTGAAAATATGTATTTCTGCTTCATATCTTTGTGTAAATGTTTATATAGTCAGCATTTACAAGTTACAATGTTTAACTGTCCTTTGGATATGAGTCCTTGCAAACTAGTTTACTTTTGAAAGTTAATATAACAAAATATGAAGCACCTAAAACTGTATTTAACATTGATAACAATCAGAAATGTTTCTTGATCATCACAATAGAATAATTTCCAATGGATCATGTGAGACTAAAGACTGGAGTCACGCTGCTAAATATTTAACATTGAATGTAGGGCTGCACGACAATGGAAACATTTTAACATTATTAACATTTTTTTATATAATTTCACCAGATGACTTAAATAGATCTCTTTGCAAAGTCATTACTTGGGTTGATTTTGGTTTCTGGTCACCTATAATCCCGACTCAACATTGCATATCTTGTGATGTAAGACTATTGCGGACACAGCAATAATCTATTTTCATTATTCAACAGATATAATTCCTCTATTTATCGGATTATTTCTATTTTATAAGCTAAATAATTACTATTTATATGATAAATAATGATCCCGTCCATTTAAACTCAAATGACTGTTGAGAAGTCTATACACATGCACATATCAGATCACTTGCATGTTCACAACTAATTGTAAATATGTTAGTGAATTTTATTTTGCATGTTTGCACAAGTGTTATTTGGATGTTTATGCATGCATCAAGTTTATATTCATATACAAAAGTTTTTGGGCGCATATGCATACATCTAGTTTATATGTATCCGCAGTTAGTGTAGGTGTGTTTGCATTTAGCGAGTTTTGTATGTGCGCGAGTATGCATGTATCAAAGGTTATGTATATACGCAAGTTTTATATATTGTTTTATACATCCAGTAGTAAAGGTGTATACGAGTAATTCATAGATGTATATGTACCTGTGTTATGTATAAATTTATAAACAAAGTTTGATTTAAATTCTACAGCCTTAAACCTATTGACCAGTCTTGTGCATGCCCACCGGTTGAAATCTCAGTTTTTTTGGTGTTTGTTTTTTGATCAAACGAATCAAGTAATAAACGCAGTTTTTGACTCGTTATTTCGTTTTTGTTTTGTGTTTGTTTTAATACTTTGTTTTGAGTCAAAAACGGGTTAATAGATGAGCTTTTTTTGTGCTTACAGAATAAACAGAAAAACTAAATATTGACTGTTTTTCTGGTGTTTCGTTTTACAAAAAAAAAATAATAATCAAATGAACAGATGATACCAATATTCAGGGTATCTTCTATCCAATCCACATCTGTTTTCAAATTAAAAAAAGGAAAATAAAGAAAACAGACATTTTTTTTGTTTTTCGTTTACTTTATAGGTCATCTATATCTGAGCTCGTGATGTAGCCCTCAAAATAAGAGCCCTCTCTGAACCAGCACCCAGGCTTTTAATTATTATTATTTAACTATATATATATATATATATATATATATATATATATATATATATATATATATATATATATATATATATATATATATATATATATATATATATATATATATAAACTAAGCGATGCAGTAGAGCAATAGGTAGTGCAGTCGCCTCACAGCAAGAAGGTCGCTGGTTCCAGCCTCAGCTCAGTTAGCGTTTCTGTGTGGAGTTTGCATGTTCTCCCTGCGTTCGTGTGGGTTTCTTCCAGATGCTCCGGTTATCCCCCCCAGTCCAAAGACATGCAGTACAGGTGAATTGGGTAGGCTAAATTGTCCGTAGTGTATGAGTGTGTAGGGCTGATCTTAGTCACGATTATTTAGTTCATAATTGTAATCACGATTATTCAAAACGATTATCAGTTGAAGTCAAAATTTCACAAATGATGTTTAACAGAGCAAGGAATTTTAACAGTGTTTTCTAAAATATTTTTTTCCTCTAGGCTCATTTGTTTTATTTTAGCTAGAATAAATGCAGGTTTAAATATTTTGAAACCCATTTTAAGGTCAATATTATTAGCTCCCTTAAGCAAGCTATTTTTTGATTCTCTGCAGAAGAAACTACTGTTATACAATGACTTGCCTAATTACCCCATCTAAGCCTTTGAATCACACTTTAATCTGAATGCTTGTATTTTGAAAAATATCTAGAAAAATATTATGTACTGTTGTCATAGCAAAGATAAAAGAAATCAGTTAATAGAAATGAGATAACAAAACTATTACGTTCAGAAATAAGTAAAAACAACTTCTTTCCATTAAACAGAAATTGGGTAGGAAAAGGGATGCTAATAGGAGGGCTAATAATTCTGACTTGAACTACATATATACAGTTATTTTCCACCCTGTAAAGGAAAAAGAAATAAATACAATAGAATAGAAATATGAAACAAACTGTGTGTGCCGCACACACACATAAGCAGGTGGTCTTTCGCGCTTTTAAGAGCAACACATGTGTACAGCTGGAAAGATGGTGGTATATGATGCAATAATCATTTATCTAGATTTATGCTTTTTCATAATCGTTTGAAGCCAAAATCAAAACCGAAATCGGATTTTAAATGAGTTGGCTACCTGTAGATGTTGCTCGTGCACAGCCACCGATCCTATTGTATTTTATTTAAATCCACTTATTTTAAATATTCAGCGTAGCCTGCCATGGGCTAGGTCTAGAAAAAAAAATAATAATAATATATATATATAAATATATATATATATATATATATATATATATATATATATATATATATATATATATATATATATATATATATATATTTTTTTATAATAATAATAAATGATTATTAAAAAACTAAACAATAAAAACAGTAAGTGAACAATATTAAATATTATTATTATTGTTGTTGTTATTTAGGCCTTCAGTAGCACGGAAACAATCATGCAAACCAGGTGCTGCTCGTAAATGGCTGTCTTTGCTCAGCATCAGGTGCACAGCAGCAAGACGTTTGGTAGGAGAACTAAAGGCATATATTATTATTATTATTATTATTATTATTATTATTATTATTATTAATATTATTATTATTAACATTATTAATATTATCATCATTATTATTATATAGGCCTTGTTAGGAAATAATCATGCAAACTAGGTGCTGTTTGGAAATGGCTATCTTTGCTCAGCATCAGTTGCGCTGCTGCAGGACGTTTGTCAGCGAACTATGGCCTTATTTTAACGACAAATGTCTAAAAATACTGCTAATTTATGTTTTTTTTTTAATTTAGGCATACGCAAAGAATGTTGGCCTGCTAACAGATCAAATGACAGAATATGTAAACTTAGTTTATATATATGATTAAATAACAATAATTAAAAGTCTGGCTGCTGATCCACAGAGTGCTCTTATTTTGAGGGCGACGTTACGAGCTCAGATTTGGTTGACCAATCAGAGGAAAAAGGGCGTTTCAGCACCACCTACATGTGTATAAAGAATTTTGAAGTCGTTAATCCATTTTTCTACCGTAAATTAAAAAAATAAAAATCAAGTCAAAATGTCATTTTTTCGCAAATGAAAAAAAAAAGTCTTTTTCTTTTCTTTTCTTTTCTTCAGTATCCTTTTTTGTTTGAAAACGGATATGAATTGGACGGAAGATACTGATTCTGATTATACACACACCCAATTTATATATTGTGCAGCCCTAATTCAATCACAGGAAAAAAATCACTACATTCTACATTACAAAACACCTGTTTTACAATAAAACATTCTCACAAATTGTATTTCTTCTTCCATTTTATTTTTAAAAAAATAAATAAATAAATGCAGCTTTGATGAGAAGTAGAGACTTCTGTCAAAATCATTGAAAAGTCCCACTGATTCCAAACTAGTGTACGCACAAGATGTGAAAAAGACAAGTGTAAAAACAGCAGTTTTCACCTGTCTCTGTTCCTCCAGTGCTCGGAGACGTCGGCTCGCAGAGGACAAGAGTGTTTCCAGCTCCAGCTGAAGCGTGTCGAGCTCTTCAATGCCAATGCCATCATCCTCTGAGCGGCTGAGCACTGCAGTGTAGCGTGGACACACTTTCACATGGTCCACAGGTTTGAAGTCATAGTACTTTAATGGGGGGCAATCCTTCAGTTCACTCATCTCTGCATTTACAGAAATCTATATCTGTAATGAAATAATAAACAAAGTGAGGGTTAAAAAAAGTATATTCTAATTGTCTTTTTAGTGTTATTAATGAGCAGCACAAATTGTAAATGGTTTTGATCTAGTGGTAACGTTACTAGTGGACAGCTACAGAAAAACAAAACAGAGATGTGTTGTTATTTATACTGTTTGGTGTGTAACAAATCTAATCCTACATGTATTGAATTTTTCACTCTATTATGTAATAGTGATTGCCATATAAGATGATAAATGATATAACGAGCAGCCAATGTAGGCTAACGGCTACAAGCTAATTTAGCTCCATGCTGTTCAAAGCACAGGCAGCCGGTTATAGCATTTACCAGCATATTTGCGTATAGCTTTCAATGAAAAGACTTGTGCTGACAATTAAACTATATGATTAAATACGAAATAGGACGATAAACTCAACTCCTATACTGCATTAATTGATTCATAAAATAGCATTGTTTACCTCCGATGAAGGGGCAACCATTACTGACTAGACCATTATGCCAGTAGGGGGGATACAGCTCGTTGATTACATTTTAAAAACATGAATGTATATCATAAGAGCTTCAATTTGGCCGTTGCACGTTTTCTTAAAATATTGTATAGTTAAATTATTATTCGACATTCGACAAATACCGCTTCCTGTCAGTTGACATTCACAACGCAACACCGCAGTTCATTGAATGGTACATTCGATACCAAAGCGCGTCTGAATGGAAATAAATTGTATTTATTTTCAAAAAAATAATCAACTGTTCAAAGCCACAAAAGAGCTAATGTTTATTTCGGAACATTAATATTTATAGATTACACCCTGTTTGATAAACGTACAATTTATTTGACCTGTCGAGTAATTTGCCATATAAGGAAGAAAAAACGAATCTAGGAAAAACTGCTGCTGGGCTTTACCGTAATTAAACAAAAAGATTTTTCAACATTACTGTTATGTTGTTTTAGTAGCTGTATTATTTTCTTACATTATAATAGTGACAACTTTAGTTTGCATTAACATATGTTTTGTAATTTGACATCCACTCGTGTAAATTTAAACCACGCGCTTGTGAGAATTAAGCTGAATTGCTCTTTCAATAGATAAATTACGGGAGTGTGAGGACGCAATGGAGGCGTGATTCCTCATCTCCAGGCGTGGCGTGCGGACTTCCGTCTTCCTCCACAGACCTCATATAAAATGGTAAGAGATTTTCGATTCTCGAAAGTTGCAAATATTGTTTTTGATTATAGCCCAACCAATTAAATAACCCATGAAAAAGCTTTTCGGTAAAGCATTTTGCATAGAGAAACAGCTTTGATTTCTGGCTTATTTGATCGAGTGTTCTGTCCTGATTTATGCTAGCTAGCTAACGTCAGGGATTTTGCATCCTCTTTAACAGAATCAAAATAATAAATGGATTCGATTAAATACTATTTATGCTACATAAATGTTTTGTTTGATGTGGTATTTGATATGATTGTTGAAATGTATTTATAAGAATAGTTATTGACAACCTGAATTACTATCAGAAGCTCATTGTAATGACAAGCACACAACTGCTCTTCCACTCACTGACAGTCACGTTTTTGTGTATTTACTACGAGTATACGTTCATGAATAATAATAATATGGAGACAACTGTATACAACCATGTCATGTAAATTATTATAGCTCTGTATGATTAAGTATACCTGTACCTCTGTGATGAAGTCATGTTTCCTACGTTTTCATATACACTGAAGTCTTTTTATTGAACAGTAAATTTGTTTTTTTGAGCAAAACATAAAACGATAGTTCACCTCAGAAATGTACTCACTAATTATTCCCTCTGAAGTGGTTATAAACCTTTATGATTTACGTTATTATGTTAAACACTACAGATTATATTTTAAAGAAATATTAAGGAAGTCAGTGGTTACATTTCCAATATATTTCAAAATATCTTATTTTGCATTTTAGGAATATAGGTCAAACAGGTTTGGAACAAGTGAAGAATGAGTAAATGATTACATATTTTTCATTTCGGGGTGAACTATTCCTTTAAGGATGTAAATCTCTCTTAGTAATGATGTCAACTATAAATTTTGGTTTTGGTCATCATTAATTAAAATCTAACAAGTTGCTTCTGCTGTGGAATGTTGGTGCTTTTCTGATGATGTCAGTTTGACAGCTTGGGTGGAATGTGCTTAGCCACACCCCTCCGTTACCCCACCCCCTACTCAATATTCAGTTTCAGTTTTAAATTTGTCATCATTGTGAAATAAAATGTTTATGTTGGCTTTATAGCAGTTAAAGCAGTTTATACATTATCATCTAAAACTATAAAATCAGGATTCCAGTCCATTTGTTGTTGAAATGTAACAAATTAAACCACGACTTCCATGACTTTTTTTCATGACAAATTTATGGAAACATATTCATTAACTAATTAAGACATCATCAACATGTTAAGTGATATATTATGAATGTTTATAAGCCATTTTCTAGATGTTTCAATGGTTGAAAGACATTGATTTAGCAATTACTAAGGTGGTAGATGCTCATTATTGCTTGTCATTATATGGTTAAGAGTGTCATAGTTATCATATAGTGCTCAAAATTAGGAAGGGCTAGTATATTACTTATTGTTACTGCAATCATGTTGGTCTGGTAAAAGAAAGGCATATGCACCTAGGGTAACATTAAGTTGATTAAATAATGGCAGATATAAATTATATATATATATATATATATATATATATATATATATATATATATATATATATATATATATATATAATAGGAAGCTATACAATATTATATTTGTGCATATACATTAGTCAGTACTGAAGCCAAATCTGGAGCTTATCTAACAAATGATAAAGGTCTAAAAAAAAAAAAAAAAATAGAGCACCCTAATTTATGTTATAGAAAAATATTACATGCAAATTTAAAAAAAAAAAGAGATAAAAAATCAAGAGAAGCAAAAACTTGAAAAATTATGTTGAAATTTTGTAGTTTGTAATTTTTTTTTGCAATATTTTGTTTAATTGTATTATCTTTGAATTTTTAAAGATGCTTAGTGACTTAAATATTATTCTAATAAATATATTGGTTTAATAAATCTGTTTTGTTTAAATGCACCACAATACATAGCCTATATTCACTGAGAAATGGATACAATTTTCTTTTTTAAAATAGGAGTACTCAATTATACTGAGCACTGTGTATATATATTACAATAAAAAACAACATAATAAGTTTTTCTGTTAGTTAGTGAACTATTGCTTTAAAATTGACAAGGATCTGTAATAAAAGATAAATATTAAATATTCTTGTTTTAAATATACAGACGGCAACATTGCGACCCTACCTGAATGCTGTGCGCGCCACTCTTCAAGCAGCCCTGTGTCTGGAGAACTTCTCCTCTCAGGTGGTTGAGCGACACAACAAGCCTGAGGTTGAGGTTAGGTAAGGAAATCATTAATATACTCTACTATATAAGACCACAAATACTTTCTCACATTATCACTGTTTATTTACTATAGTTTAGAGAATGATAATACAAAATGACAACAAGGGCTCAACTGAACTGTGCCCGATCTTTGATCGAAAAGTACAGTATGTAGTGGATTGTTATCTACCAAAAATAATTTACACAACTGATTAAATGACAATATTTACCCAACTATCAATATTTTTCTTATATAAAGCTGAAATTCAGCATTTTCCCTGATTCACTGCAGCACCTTCTTCACTTCCTGTTGGATAGAAGTCCACCGAATGAAAAATACAATAATATTACAACAATACAATATTAAATACACTTTTGCTGTCACCACTTACCTAACTGAACTATAGTGTTCTGGATCCACTAATAAATTAAATCAGTATATCAAAAAATACCTGGTGTCTGAATTCTTCTTATTATTAATATTATTATTTGTTTTTTGGTTTAACCATATATGTGCATGTTGCTCGATACAGAAGCAGCAAAGAGCTCCTGTTGCAGCCAGTGGTCATAAGCCGAAATGACAAGGAGAAGGTCCTGATCGAGGGCTCTATAAACTCAGTCAGAGTTAGCATTGCTGTCAAGCAGGTAAGGTGATGAACTTTCAAAGACAGATGGCGAGCTTGGCATCGCCACACAATTTTCTAAAGATATTTATGGTTTTTGTAGGCTGACGAGATCGAGAAGATCCTGTGCCATAAATTTATGAGATTTATGATGATGCGAGCGGAGAACTTCTTCATCTTGAGGAGGAAACCTGTCGAGGTGAGCTCAGTTGTGAAGAACAAGCATGAAATGGAGAAATATGTCATTAAGACACTCAAAACTGCATGTCATTGTGACTATGGGGAAATGCTTCATATAGTTTGACTGTTTATATAGTTGAGACCATTAAATGGTTTAAAAATTAACCTGTAAGTTAGGGCTGTGCAATTAATCAAAAATCCGGTTTCGATTTAGGCCTCTAACGATTATTAAAAACCATTAATCGAGGTAAACGATTATTACCGCCCCCTTTCTAGTTGTAAAAATGTGTTGCACGTAAAAGCGCGAACTAAACAGGAGCATGCGGTTTTGCTTCTGACTGTGCGCACACGCTCCGCTGTAACTGTGATCTCATATAGATGCATTCCTGCGCAGATGTGCAAAACTTATCAAGACGTATATATCAGTTTATTTGAATAGTTTTATTAAATTATTTATTTCCAGTCCTGTGAGTCTTTTATCTAAAACACATTTTTTTGGGTGAGAATGCTTGCATTTTGAGTGTCATTTGTTCAAGAGAGCTGATTTGGTCCCTTAAATGTTTTAAGAGGAAATGGTTACTAAGGACTAAGACCAAGACATGACTTCTGTCATGATGTACAAGTTAAGTACTTAAAATTATTTTATGATATCGTCACTGGCAACATAAACAAACTGGAAACCTACTTTTGTTTTATTTGTGTTGATTTCAAGTGACGTGATAGGTACAGGTGTCGATTGTAAATCACGTCACTTGCATAGGAAGCATTGGTGCCTGAGCGTGCAAGCCCAAGAGGGCAAGCCTGAAGATGCAAGAGCAACTCTGTAGCCAGACTCTTCTCTATGTAGCATGTGTTTTATGGTGTGTAATGTGGACAGAGATCGTTTTTCTTGAACACAGTAGTCTGCACTGTAAAAAAAAAAAAAAAAGCTGGAGTCCACTTAATTCCTTCATGTTGACTCAACACAAATTGATTAAGTTGACTTAATTGTTTTTACATATTTAAGTGGATTAAACATGCGACTATTAAGTATTTAAAACAAAAAGAATTGTTTTGTTTCAATTAAATGTAAATACATAGTTTGAACAAGTAGCAAGTGTAATAGTTTGAGTGACGTTTTAAAGAACATGAAAGACACATTTGCTGTCAGTTTCATTGATGTCAATTTCATATCCTTGTAGTTTACATCAAAATGGTAATATCATAGCTTTGAAAAAGATGCTTTTTAAAACTCTTTTTCAAATATTAATGTTTTTGAGGAACACAGAACACTG